AATCGAAGGTGCATCAGCACAACTCGTTGTTATACCTCAGCCGCCAAACGAACATGTTCTATGTACGATTCGTGTTTATTCCAACGGCACACTTATCTTAGAACCTGATTTTAATAACGGTAAAATGGCATATATCGTTGAAACAGGGAATGTAAATAATGAAGTCTATCATTATTATTTGGAACATGGTTCGACACCGATCAATATGGAGGATTTGATCAAAGAACGCAAATTATTTCGTGAAGTTTGCTTACGACAACAAACTCATCTTGCGCAAATTGTTGGTAATGAGTTCGATTCGGTAAATTTTCTCTCCGAATTGTTTACTAGACTACCTCTACTGTTTTGTCGTTTAGCCACCACCAGCTGTGCTGAAATTGAATGTTTTTGGAGAAATTGTTAGTGGTAAAAATTTTGAGTATGACGATATTTACGTTTATTACTGTTTGGATTTGCCCGATAGTAAGTTCAGACAATTTGCTCAGCTGTTAAAGATTTCGCATGGTTTTAGATTGGTATGCTGAACCAACAATGATATTCTCAGGTTATACTCATACAGCAAGTGCAACGAAATCGACCAAACATGTAAGAAACATGACGAAAGAAGAGAATAAACTGTGTTCTATTTAGAATTGACTTAGATATAAGTATAATGAAAAAGAGTAATTGAAAAGCAAAGCTCGCTGATGTTTATAAGTGAACCGAAGTCTTAGTCTATTATTATCACTGCGTGATTTTGATGCGGTGAATTCATTCATAAGATGTGCTTTGATTCGCTAGTAGTAATACGCTGTTTAATGTTTGAAAAACATGCTGATTTTTGTTTTAGGATGATGTAGTGTATTATGCACATCCATTTGAATTCGAGCTTTGGTATAAACCGTCGCCGGGTTCAGCTGACCATGGTTCGTATGTTACATTCAATTTGTGCTTTGAATATTCGTTCTTTTTTTTCATATAGAACTTCCTCGCATGCCGAAGATTTTCTTTCAAGTGGCTTCACAAGATTCCTGGAGTCGCCATCGAACGGAAGGATACACATATATAGACATTCCTAGTTTACCAGGTAGATTATCAAGTGACAGTTGTTCATGAAAGAAGAATTTTCTTTCTTTTTAGGATTTTATGACGAGGAGGTCAGGTGTTGGCGACCACGTGGAGATTCGATATTTAACGAACTCCGACGGTTTTACATAGGTGGATCAAATGAATTAGAAGATATTAGTTACGTATCAATTCCGAAACAGTTTGAGAGTGAAAAGGTATAGAATAAACATTTCTTCATATGAATTCCAGATGATCTACCTAGTTTTGTATAGAGCAACACTCCATTGAGTCGATATGGCTTTCGTACGGTAACAACAGGATCGTTGAACGTTCGCTTGAACGTTGTTTTTCAATCACAGTACGTTCTTTTTTCACATAAGCTGAATAATTCAAATCTGGTTATGCTTTGTTAGAAGTATTGCTGTTGAACATGCTAAACATCGCACTGCGTATGCCGCAAATCGTTATGGGTATGAAATGTCGAAGGAAATAAAATAAGCAATTTTCACACGATTCTATTTCTTAGATTTGATGCGTTCATGTCCAATATCAACAGTGTTATTGGTACGTATTCGATCGAATAAACGAATTAGTGCGACATGACAAAAGGATATTATTCTTTGTTTATCTTTAGATGCATTTCAACAAGCGAAAAAACGTGCACTAGAAGTCCGAGAATCAACATTACAATTATTGACGCCGAAAGCACCTGCATTCGAATGATTCAGTAGTAAACTTGAATTGTTAGTCAGATGACATCATTCATACCAAACGACAACAAAAACTGCCGTCCACAATGAACTTTTTCTTTTCTATGTTTATGCTATAGTATTGTGTTTTACTAATCTACAATTAATCTTCGTTTATTTGTATCGAAAACAATTTACATTATAATGTATAAGGGAATGAATATTTCTTTGTTTTGTTTTTTGTAGATTTGAAAGTAAACAATGCATCTTCGATCGATTGTTCGACATCGAACTGTCTTGTCAACATCTTTGCGGATCTTGCAAAGTTATACACCAACTGTTGCGAGTAGGTTTAAACATTCTAATTTCCTCATATCGAAAACTAACATTTAGATCAAGCGCATTATCATCAACGAATTTTGCCAAAACCGATTACTCGTACATCTATACCAATTCGACGTTACTTAGCGACAAACGCTGAACAAGCGACAGTCGAATCGGTACCACGTAAGTTCAATTGGGATTTGTGTTGTAAAAAAAAGTGTTTTATTGTTTTGATTAGGCGTGGAAAAGCATCAATTTCAAGCAGAGACTCAACAATTGTTGCATATTGTTGCTAAGTCGCTCTATTCCGATAAAGAAATCTTCATTCGTGAATTGATTTCCAACGCAAATGATGCTTTGGAAAAACTACGCTATGTGCAACTCTCGGCCGGTGGTGAACAAGTTGCAGACGACAAACGAGAAATTTATCTCTATGTTGATGATATTAATAAAACAATAACAATCAAGGTTTGTTCATCGAAAGAGATTGTGATGTTGGAAAGAACGTTTTCTTTTCAGGATACCGGTATTGGTATGACAAAGAAAGAAGCAATTGATAACTTAGGTACCATTGCTCGGTCCGGTTCAAAATTGTTCATAGAAGAACTAAAAAAGGACAAGACTACTACTGATGAAGGAAAAATTATTGGTCAATTTGGTGTTGGCTTTTATTCAGCATTTATGGTAGATTGATTTGAATCTTTTCTTATTTAAAATTTATGGATTACATCTTTTGATTTAGGTATCTAATTCCGTTGAAGTCGTAACTCGTTCGTATAAAAAGGATGAACCAGGTTATCGATGGACATCCGATGGGTATGTTTGGAAATTCTTAAGAATTCAGTTGAGAATATTTGTTTTAAAGATCGGGTTCGTATGAAATCGAAACATTAATCGACGATGTTGAACGAGGAACAAGCATTCGCTGCCATTTACGAGATGATTGTGCAGAGTTTAGTAAAGAAGAAACAGTGAAACGTAAGAATCGATGATTAAATTTCACTCGTTTTCATTTTCTTAATTGGTAGAAATCGTGAAGAAGTATAGTAATTTCGTTTCGGCACCCATTTATATCAACGATGTTCGTGTCAACAATCTCCGTGTAAGTTTTTTCCGCTTTGGTCTGCCACTCTTGATTGTCTGATATCTATGCGCTAGGCTTTATGGATGGAAGATGCCAAGTCGATCAAAGAAGATGAGCATACTGAATTCTATCGATTCGTTTCCGGTCAATATGATAAACCACGTTACACATTGCAATACAAAATCGATGTTCCAATCAATTTGCGAGCATTGATCTACATACCGCAATACAAACCGAGTATGTTTATAGTCGAACGAAGATTTCGATTGTAGGTGGGTTTGTTTTTCAACAGATATATTCGATGTGACTCAGGAAAGTGATGTCGGTGTCGCTTTATACAGTCGAAAAGTTTTGATTCAACCGAAAGCGAATCAACTCTTGCCGCGATGGCTCCGATTTGTCAAAGGTAGATCAAACCAACGATAACATTTCCTAAGATTCATCTGTTTACTGCGTAGGTGTTGTGGACAGTGAAGACATTCCATTGAATTTAAGTCGAGAACTGTTACAAGACAGCAATCTGATTCGGTTAGTTTGATTGATTTTGTGATGTGTATTCGAAGATGAAATGAATTTATCTTCTAGGAAGATTCGTTTACTGTTATCTCAACGAATCATTCGATTTCTTCAAGAACAATCGAAGAAAGATAAAGCTAAATACCAAGAATTTTATGAAGATTACAAGTTATTCTTTAAAGAAGGCATTGTTCGAACAGCTGATCAAGGCGAGAAAGAAGACATCGCCAAACTGTTACGTTTCGATTCATCACGTGAAGAACATGGCAATTTAATCAGTCTTGAAGAATATATCGATCGTATGGTACCTGAACAAAAACATATTTACTACTTAGCTGGACCATCAAGAGAATTGTGCGAAAATTCACCGTATTACGAAGCAATTCGACAAAAAGGCTATGAAGTTTTGTTTGTTTACGAATCGCATGATGAAGTCTTATTGATGCAATTGGCAGAATTCGATAAGAAGAAATTAAAATCTGTCGAATCTGAATTGGAAACTGATACGAAAAAAGATGATACAATCCTTGAAGGAGGTAAGATAGATTATCCATGTCATTGAAGGTGATTCGATACGATATATAAATTTAACCTTCAAACATGTTTCAAACACCAATCCAACATACTTTTTTCAAATAACAATTCTGTTTAGATGCTCGTAGTCTATCTCAAGATGAAGCCAATCAATTGAAGCAATGGATTCTCAAACAATTCGGTGACAAGATTAAGAATGTTAAAGTAAATTGTTTTTCATGTTTCAAATCATAGTATATGAATCTGCTCTTTTTGAAAGATCAATACCAAACTTGATCAACACCCATGTATCATTACTACGAATGAAATGGGCGCTGTTCGTCATTTCTTGAAGACGAATTTACTTCAACGCAATAAACAACAGGAAATCTATAAAGTTCTTCAACTTAATTTTGATATCAATCCGAAACATACTCTCATCAAGAAACTCTACACGATCCAAAAATCCAACAATACCGAATTAGCCAATATGCTTTGCCAACAAGTAGATTATTTGATGAAATCCTTTTAAGTATAACTCTTTGTTGATTCTAGTTGATTGACAATGCAATGGTCACCGCTGGTCTTGTGGAAGATTCCCGTTTAGTTCTAACTGGTTTGAATAAACTATTAGAAAAAGTTTTGGAGAAATATTAACCAACGAAGAAAATACAAGAAAAGATCAAAATCATGTTTTTTTTTGTATCTTTTGTTCTCAAATAAATAAAAAGAAAGAAAGTAAATTAGACAATCCTATCAGACAAATGTTTTTTTTTCGGAAAGACATCAAACAAAGCAGAAAAAAAGAAGAAAAACCATTCGTTTGTTCATGAAGTTTTGTCATTTCGATGTACAGTTTCATCCCAGCTAAATGAAAGTAACTCAACACGTGTTGGAAATTTATACTTTTGCATCGTGAGTATCCGACGCCAAATTTCACGCATATTATTCATCGATCCAGGCTAGAAACAAAACCAAATTAGTCATGGATCGTTTTTCTCGAACAATCTCATCTTACGAAATGTCCAAACATGATCGTATAGAACGACTTCGATGACATAAAACGCGTGTGTGCCAATTGTTGAGGTATTGTATAGAGCGAACCAAGTTGAGCATAGGTGACATTTGCAGCAGTGGCGACAGCGCCGGTTATATAATAATCATCAACCCAAAAGAATGGTACATAAAGACTGGCGTTGTACCTAATGAGAAAGTGGATTCTTTAGTGAACGAATTCAACCAGATAAAAATTACATTTTTGCTGGCATGTCTCCGGTGAGTATAAAAGCTGAAAAGAAGGAAAAGAAACGCGGTATTTTTCTGAACAAATTGAGAATTAGTTATAAATCGGCAAAATTCCTTCGAGATTTTGTCGAGAGAACATTCGTACGTACCTGAACCACTACAATAAGGTGGAAATTTATCCAGTGGAAAATCTTCTCGACTCAAATACCATTTCGATTTACTGAAACAACAAATGTTATGATTTGTTTTGCTTAATATACTGATTCTTACCTATCTCGCATAACACCCATTGCTTGCCATAATAAACAAAGTATTGTGCTATGTTTATTTGGATTATGTTTGTCGAGAAATTTCAGATGATTGATCAATGTAAATGTATTGACAACAATATCGTCGTCAACCTTTAAAACATATTTCGTTTGTGGACAATATGTGGAGATCCATTTCAAAGCCATCACTCCTTTGTAAGAAAGATTTTTATAGGCATCAATAAAATCCTCTTGAACGATATCTTGATAGATTTCATTTTCATATTCAATAGCTTTCATAATACTCTTATCGAGAGTTTGTCCAATCATGAATACGAGACGTAGATCGGGAAACAATGTTCGTGTCGACCATGTTTCACGTATGACCATTCGACGTTGGTAATTCGTTGGACCCGAATGGACGTAAACTAAGAGATAAACAGATGAATTACTATTATCACACACAGAATGTCCTGGATTAAGTATATAGGAGAAATTGTGCGGATTAACGATATGATCGCGTGGATGATAAGGATTAATTACAGGTGCCGGCGTTGATCCTGTCTTCGATGTGACATTTTCCTGTTTATTTGAACTCGTCGATGAGTTAATTTGATGAGATAGAAGTAGAATTAATATATAATAGTATTGCATGTGTTATTCGATCTAAAACAGAGATAGAAATATGTTATTAGCGATCGGGTTTGGGCTTTTTTTTCTCAATGCTTTGAGTTTTCACATGTTACCCGACACCAGTCGAGTTGTGTACGACTGATTTTTCATTCGAGTGGAAAATTTCTCTCACTGTGTGTCTGATCGTGGTTTTTTTTTTGTTCTTCGTTTTTCATCATCTGGTTAGCTCGAAGAAGCTGACAGATAGACATCTATCTTTCATCATTATTCTATTAAGAATGGACCAGTAGCGAGAAAAAAATACACAGAGAACACAACGCATGGAAGAAAAAGAAAAGATCTGCTCCCATATCAGGAAAGATTTTACTCTCAATTTCTCTTTCTCTTGCACGTCAAATCTTTTCTCTTCATCACACATTCACAATAGTCTAATGTGTGCACTTATTTTCTTTCGTTGTTATTATTACCTTTTATGTTCTCTATGTTGTCATAAAATTAAAAGAGGAAAGAATGAAAGAAAAAAGGTCCTGATAGAACAGAAAGTTATTTCATTTCTACTGCCGGCATCTATTAGTGTATATAGAAGTGTGTATTTGTATACGAATACGTAAGCATTTATTTGTTGTGAGGCCTTTTTCTTCTTCCCTCCATACATCGAGAAGCAACAGAGAGGTGTTAATGTTTAAAAGATAAAAACGTTGAAAGAAGTACTGCAGAAATGGATACACATTCCGAATCGCAAAGAACAATCAATAGTGGAAACAGACGGAAACTATCATGTTCAAACTGATCGGATAGACATTATTAAGGAAAAAAAATTGAGTCAGGAAATGGAATCTTTCGAGCATAGTTGAGATCTAAGTTGCTTGTTCCCTGATGACAAGCGAAAGAAAAGCATTAACTGGAAACTTATGTATACGGACGAACGACATTGATAGTATATGCCCGTACCATTCTCTCCTCCACCTCTTTTCTTTTCTAGTTCTTTTCTTAGCAGCTGGTGAAATAATACGAAATGCTTGTTGTTATTATTATCTCTCGATAGAGAGCGAGAGGGAGAAAAAGAAGAAGATGCCTTGCCATTCTTATGCTGTTATATATCCAGAAGAAAAACAACGACGGATGTCGATCTCTTATTGTTTTGTTCTTGGCATCTACGAAAAAAAAACTATTATTTGATCAGTCATAGAAATGAGGGAAAGAAAAAAACTTAAGAATAGAGTTATGCAAAGGAAGATTTCCTTTTCTTTCATGTATATATATACTCGATCGAATGGCATACACAATTAGGTGTACCGGTGATGCTGCTTGCATAATAATTTTGGCACTGAAACGTTTCTTTTGTACGCAAATGATTTCTCAATTAGTTTCTACTGAGAAGATAACAAATCAGATGTAAATATTGAGTCTTCGATAATGAAAAAGTGTTTAAAGTGTGTTGTCAATCATTTAATGGTAAAGAAGATTTGTGAAAATGAACGATGTGGATCAAGATGAAGGTTATATATCAAACTGTTGCTCAAACTGTTATCATATTATATCAACGATGATGATAAAAGGCAAAAAAAGAGAGAAGGCTTTCATAACATACTACTAACTGATTTGTTTGCATATCTTCAACGTTCATTTGTACACATATCCCATTATACATCGAACGATGTATATGTTTTGTAAGATGATCTTCATTCTTCTCATACATTTGAGTATGTATCTATCGCATTCAGGTAATAGTAATAATTATTATTAGGGCCAACAGAGATTGAATTCAGTATCGAGAGTATTTGTAGTAGATGCATTTCGTAATTATGCTGAAGAATGCTGTCAACTTGGTCAACTACAAGCGGAACAGATGAAAACATGTAGTATAGCATCGCAAGTGTTTCTTTTTGAAAATAAGATGCATTTGTCTACTCATTGTCGATATTTGACACATATCTGCTGTTTGACGAATTTACGCGGCTACTTTTGTGAGGAAGGTTTAAACACCGCGCTTCAATTGTTACCATGCAATGAGACAAAACTCGAATCGAAAGATTCTTATCAGGTCTTTAGGAAGATACTATGAATAATGTGAATAGTGAATCACTTTGTTTCTTTTGTTGTACATAGATTTGTTGCAAATGTTGTGAATTAGGTGTTCGAGCAGGCCGAGAGCAAGAAGATTGTCAACCATTGACTGTACTTGATGAAAGATGCAGTGAACAATTTCATGATTGTTGTAAGAAGGCAAAATCACGTATGAGAATGAAACAGAGTTCAGCCTATCAATTGAGAATTTTGCTTTTTTTTTCTAGTGAATTGTGCAGTCGGTTTTCAAATGAGTGAGGATCATCAATGTCGAGGTATGTATGCGTACTTTATATATTATTAACAATATTTCTAATGCAGATGTTAACGAATGTCTCTCGAATCCATGTCCAAGCAGAATGTTGTGTGAAAACACACCAGGCAGTTTTCGTTGTATCGAAGGATGTCAAATTGGTCATACTTGGTCAATAAAACATGGCCAATGTCGAGGTAAGTTAACATATTTATCTCTCAATTGTCATATTGATTCATGTTAGACATTGATGAATGTGCGATTCATAAGCATAACTGTAGTTTTGGACATCGCTGTGAAAATATGCCAGGATCATTTAGGTAATTGAGATAGTAATCTGATGAATAGCTATGGAATTCTTTGTAGATGTATTCGAGAAAGAAATTGTGGAACGGGATATCAAGTCGATCCCACAACACAAACATGTGTAGGTAGGAAGTATGATACAGAAGAATGTTTCCGTTTATTTCTTGGTATGTTAGATGTTGATGAATGTGAGCAAGATATTCACGAATGTCGGTAGGTAAACTGTTTTGAATTAGTTTGATCATCGTTTTTCGTTGGTTTTTGCTAGACCTGGTTATATTTGTAAAAACGTTCCAGGAACATACAGGTAATGTGTGATCAAATTCACGGCGATTGGAAATTCAAAGTGTTTATAGATGCGTGCCACAAACTTGTACGTCGGGCGAAAAATTCAATGCTTTCTATGGTCGCTGTGAAAAGATTCAGTGCCGTGAAGGTTTCAATGTTACATTGACAGGGAAATGTCTTGGTAGAGAACATTCTCGTCATTCAATATAGGACACATTTCGAATTTCACATAGATATTAACGAATGTACTCAAAAACCAAGTCCATGCAAGCTTGGTGAACGTTGTGATAATACACCTGGATCTTATCGTTGTGTACAAACATTTACGTGTCCAAGTGGCTTGGAGATAAAAGATCTCGAATGTTTAGGTAGATTCAAAAACTTCTCGTTCGAATTATTTTATCGAGAAAATTTTCCACAGATATTGACGAATGTGCTATTGGAAACCATACATGTCCTTCGTTAGCAACATGTCAAAATACATATGGATCGTTCTATGTAAGATGCCACTTATTTCTGTACTGTTCATTTTTTTTTAATCGTTCTATTTTTCAGTGTCAATGTCCACCTGGATTTGTCTATCAGAATGGTGCTTGTATCGGTACGTACTGTATTCAACGTGAGTTATCACAGGAAGAAAATATTTGATTAGATGATGATGAGTGTTCAAGAGAAAATCCAATTTGTCCAACAAATTCAGTTTGTCGAAACACGGCTGGATCGTATATCGTACGTAATATGTTATTTAGAGTTTTATGAAAACAGTTCTTCTGTTTATCTTAGTGTGATTGTCCGTCAGGTTATAGAATGTCAGATAAACGACACTTTTGCGAAGGTAAATTTGTTCCTTAATTCTATTGTGGTACTATATTTATATTATATAAGACATTAACGAGTGTGAACTTTCACCCAATGTGTGCGAACAAAAATGTGTCAATGTTCAAGGTTCATACTATGTAAGTTTCACACAAATTAACGACTCAAACTTATTATTCATCACTTAGTGCCTATGTAAAGAAGGTTACCGACTGAACAGTGACAAACAGACATGCCGAGGTATAAGGAATGCTTGACTAATTTTCCTCACACTCTACTGTATCATATCTTTAGATCTAGATGAATGTTCTATGATCGCAAGATTATGTCAACATGAATGTGTGAATACACTTGGATCATATAAATGTGCATGTCCATCCGGATTCTTACTTGAACGTAACCGTCAATGTCAAGATATAGATGAATGTCAGCTTGACACACATAACTGTTCTGCAGGTCAGACGTGTATAAATACTCGTGGTGACTTTCGCTGTTTTTACATCGATTGTCCTAGCGGTTACGACAAAATTGGAAATTAGTAAAAGCAGTCATTTCTTTTTCTCTCATTACAATCTAATGAACTGAGTTTTTTTTGTTCTATAGTCGGTGTCAATTGAATACACAATGGTGCATTGAACACCAAAATGACAATAATTTGCGTTGTACACGTCACAAACCTGTCAAATACGTATATTCTTTCATTTCATTACCAGGTAATTAACAAAGTAATCAGTTCTGCATGCAACTTTTCTCGAATTTTAGCGCACATATCTATCCCGACTGAAATCTTTCGCATACGCAATAGTCAGTTGAATAAAGATCAACATGTCGAATTTGAATTACAATACATACCAAAAGATCATTCGCAAACGAGTTCTACTCAGCGTATGCTTGATAAATTTCAATTGAAAACCTACTCAGCGCATCATGCACATTTATATCTTATTCAAGAATTGAATTCATTCGACGAAATTGAATTACATATTCAAATGAAAACATTTACCAATAAATTCTCCTCGTCGATTGCTGTTATGAAACTTTTCATTCATGTTAGTCAATATGCTTTTTATCCTTAGTTCTATGTTTTTTTTATTTTTTTTTAATAAAATCAATTATGAAATTGGCCCAAAACGATTTCCTCTCATTTCGACAGATGCCGGCGCTAAAATCGTGTTTCGGATTCCCATAGACATGTTCATGAAAGGGAAATGACGTAGTCTTAAGATTATCCCTATCTTCATCGCTTTCGGAGACGAACGTATAGGAACTTTTTATAAATTAGCTGAAGTATGACTTAACACATGAATGACGCGTTTTCTTCTAAATCGATCTGAATAGATCGAAATCTGATCTACATGCATCGCTTGTCGTACAGTGCAGAATGGAATACAAAAATGAAGCAAGTCTTTCCTGACTGATTTCTCTCGAAAAGTCCTAATGAATTTCAATTAGTAGATAAATCTTTGCACGGTTTATCTCAATTAACTACAAAGAAAAACCATATAGATTTTTTCAGTCACGAAGACCAATCCAAACAAATTAGATTAAGAAAACAATAAATCGAACAGATGGAAATAATCAGAAAGATTTTCTTTTCTTGTTCTCATTTGATCACTAACTTCGACGAAAAACGGGAATATCTCAGGATGTCATTACAACGGAAATGTCTACAAATTGCATACATTCAACGTTTATGAATCACGACTTCGAAGAGATAAGAAAGCAACGGAAGGAAGACGATCCAGCATCTATTGATTGTTTTTCTGCTTTATCGGCAAAGTTTTCACCTATTCAACAAATGAGAAATTCCCCTGAAACTAAACAAGAGACAATAGGTAACAACTTATCACTATGCTCTCAAAAATTAGAACACCCACGTTCTCATACAAAGTAATAAATTATGTGAACACATGCATTTTTTCTACAGAGAGAGAGAGAGAGAACGTCAGTTAATTTTTGTTCTCGACTCGATAAAGCAAATCAATTGAATTTTGCAGATTGTTAGATATAGGCGTATTCGATTGAATAATCAAGCGGGTGTCCTACTAAGCGGAAAGATTTAACTAACAAATTTGATTAGATCGGCAACTAGAATTAGACACGTTTAGAGACACAAATGTCTTCCAAGCAGATTTCAACCGCTGTATTCGCATCGAAGTATTTTAACCTTTAGACCAAAAGGGGAAAATCGATCTTCCAATCTCCTCCTCTGGAGACATCCCTGACTAGAACAGATTCAAATGTAATAGTGCATCTTGTAACTACGAACATATTTTCTCACTGTGTTGTTTTCTCTTTCTTCTCAACAAAGTTTTTTTCTTTTCTATAACGTAAAATATGCTGTAGAAAAAAAACTGTAGTCTTTCCAAAGGCTTGTGTCGCCTCTGTCATTTGCTTTTTGCTTTTGCAATCGATTGTTAATTGCAAGAGATGGATGTTGTGAGTTGCTTTTAGAATTGAACATGCATTTGCTCTTCGTTTTTCTCTTTTGTCACTCTAATCATTCGATTTTACGAATTGTTTTTGATGGCATCGGATCCTCTCTCTCTCACTCGTTCTTTTGTTTTCCTATATGCATCAAAATAAGATCAGATTTATCATCTTTTGCCTCACTCTTCGTTCATATCGGAAACTTTCTTTTCCTCAGAAAAGAGTGGCTTGAGATGGAATATTGGATTCAATATTAGATTTGTCAATACAATAAATCTACTCTTATACAATCGAATGCCTTCATTTGTCAAAAGTGGACGCTATTACAAGCAGCAAGAGGAAAATATACGCAAGTGCGAGAAGCAAAAACGGGAAAAGTGGAATAAGTTTGTAGCAATATTGAACACGGATGAAACATTTTCTGGGCTGAATTTCTTCATCGTTTTCTTTCTCTTTTTTTCGTTCCAGATTAATATTTCCTCGTCGTCGTCAAATCAACATTTGTCTGCAAATTAGCTAACGATATGCATCCGATCAATATTCTGCTCGTGTTCTTCGTCGGTTATTTAACTTTATTGACAATGACTTATGCACTTTCGATTAATACTCATCAGGTAATGAGACATTTATTGGAGAAAATAAACGAATACAGTTTGTTGTAGCAACGACCATCGTCACTTGCTGACACGCGTGTTAAACGTTCATTAGAACACAAACGTTTCTATGATTTTGGCTCTCGCTCAGTTCATAATGATGAATTGGAAGAAGTCAACGATGCGTTCAATCGCCTTCGCCGTTTCTATGATTTCGGCGCAAAGAAACGTTTTTATGATTTTGGTTCCAAAAAGAAGCGTTCAAATGAATAAATTGATCTAATGAACTTTAAAACAACAATCGTTTCTCTCTCCCTCTCTCTCATCTTTTTTCTCTTTGTCATCTCTATATCTGTCATACATATAACATCTTCGTTTCCTAAACGGTTATTCTGAGATTTGCCAAGAACAGTTGCATACCGAATGGCTCTCATGTTGATCGAAACTCGCCAACAATTAAATTATTTTCGTCATTAAACAGATCGAATAAAAACACATGATTATATTTTGTTTGATTCACTTCCTAGCAGATTAAATTCTTACGAAAGTTGACTGTATCGCACGTCAAATGCATGATTCGTTGAAGTAATATCTCAAGTTTTCCTTGAGCGAGAGTTTGTATCAAGTTTTCATATACAAATACAAGAGCGAGAACGTCGACGTGTTTGTGTTGACCTCGAGCAAGAAGATAACAAGAGTGATGGCTGCTTGGAAGTTCTCCAGAACGTGATCGCTAGAGTTTTCATCGAATCAAATATGTACGCTTTAGCCTTTGGTTATTAATTAACCTTCAGTTTCGTCAAGTAGACAATAGTACTATTGTTTCCACTGTGAAAAGTCAAAATATACGGTGTGCGTCTAATGTTCGCTGGTAATTGATGTCAAATCTCGGTAAATCTTATTTATTTTGACAAGATAATCATAAATGAAATAAGAGAAAAAAAAATCTTTTTTGTCATTTCTATTTATTCATCTAAAGTTGACAGTTTAATTATCACCAATATTCATATAGGAGATGTTAGCTCATTTTTCTTCAATAACAATTTATTAATGACATCGAAGATTTATATATAGAAACAAAAAGCTTTCCCTCGGTTCAATGAACAATTCATTGATAATTGGGACCGAGGATAGTGGAACACACGAGTACATGTTTTCGATGCTAATTGAATAACGTCTATAAATCTTCACTAGTAATTATTTTCAACTGTCTCGAAACTTTTCTTTCTCTGACGCAGGCTATTTTCAGGTCCGCAACATCCGTACGAAGAAGTATGTTAATCACCATGACAGAAATATCTATGCTGAATACTTCTAATCAATGTTAGCTACCCGTGGGAAAGCAAATGCCATTCTGATATCTGGCAGAAAATTGCTAATTTGGTATTTGTTTCGAAGCTTCAATAAGCCTTTGATGAATTCAGCTAATTATCCAAAGATAGTTCAATGATATCTACCACATTCACTTGTCAAACATTACAGTAAAGATAAACGAGAACGTGTTAGTGTTGATCAATTTCTACTATTCATATCAGGAGAGTCGTTCTTTGCACTTGTAACAGCAGATCAACGGATAAACTTCGAGCATATGACATTGAAATTTGCTTACGATTCGTTTGAAATGAAACCTAGTTGAACTAATTTAATTAGGATTATGGATGAAAAGATTTGTTCTGTAGACGTCGCACCTTAATAATCGATAATGACGTTGGTAGTTCTCTTTTAACGTCATTGTCGTGCAAAACGATGCAACGCTCGAGTTTTTACTGGAAAGTTATCCTTTAGCAAAATGATAGAACATGCACATATATATTTTTTCTTATCAACAAATAATAATCATCTTCGTGAGGTTTTTGTATCAAGTATCGTCAATATGCGTGTTGTGCTTCTCTTTTCTTTTGATGAAAAAAATTTCATGCTTTTTTGATTATCACATCGACTAGTATAAGCAGAGATTTGCAATCAAAGGTGAAGATCTATCATGCAATCATTTCCTGTTTGTTTATCTTTGAGAAGCAAAAAAGGACGCGCGCACACAGAATGTACATCGATCAGCGTCTTGAGATAATGACTTGATAAGTGAATAAAAAAAAGAATCAGGATGGGTGCGCTTGAAATGTTTGCCATTCAATAGAGAAAGTCGAGTAGCAGATCGTCAGATACACGGTTTTCTCTCTCTCTCTCTCCATGTGTTTTGCTCGCGTGCTTAATTCCTTTTCTTCTTTTCTTTAGTAAGAAGGCTCATTTAACGAGTACAGAGATCCGGTCTGTTTACCTCATCATTATCAGCAGAGGAAAAGAGAACGGATAGCAGAAGAGCATATATGTAAGGAAAGAAGTATGGCGAACAAAACCGACAAGAAGGAAAAGGTACACATATAATACGTCTGTTTCATCTCTGTCGTTACCCATCGGATAGAGAAACTGAAACGAATAAGGAAGAAAGAAAGAAAAACTATCTATCGAAGAAAAGAAAATGTATTAGCTTAATCGTTACATTAAATTATTGTTTTTTGAAGTAAGCTTCACACAGTGTCATTATTCAATTATCTCTTTGAAAGTACATGCGAATGCCATAACATTCTGTTCGTTTTCTTTAGATTGTTGTGTGCAAACATGTCGACGCATGTACCTGATCGAGATCTGAAAGCGATCTTATTTGTATCGATAACAACTGTTTTAATTATTCTCATCATTGTCAGTCGATGGCTCAATTTCCATTTTTGTAAGTGCTGTTTCCATTGGATGCGAATTAGAAAAACTTCAATAACTACACCAAATATTTCTGCTCGCGAACATTCAACTCAAGTAAAATTAGTTTTTCAATAGGAAAAATCTAAATTAGATACTTAAGGAACCGCGAACGTCATTCATTGACCTGAATACAACTGACGACGTAGTTAAAAATGTGAGTTTATGGACGCCAGCTTTTGGTTCGGTCTCATCCTTGGTCACCAACGACACAACACGTGATGCGACATCGATGCGTGCGTTAATTTGTTTCTTTTCTCTTATCTTTTCTTTTCTCAAATCTAGCGAATAGTGACAGTGCATATGATATTGTTTCCTTTGCGAACAATGTCAAATCAACGCTAAAACAAACCATCGTATGCGAATCTGATGAAGAATCGATTGGCAATGATTTAACTGAAGAGAATCTCGGATGTGGCAAATTACAGATAACAATTAATTACAACGCGTAATTTGTTGAGTTGTCCTGATAACTAGTTATATCGTTTTTCTATAGTTTGGAAGAATATTTCGAAATATTGTTTCTGCAAGCACGATACATCAGCATAAGCAATGAAAAGCGAGAACAAATCAAACTTTACATAAGTGCATACTTAGATCATGAACGACGGCAAAGTCAACAGACACAAGTTCGACTAATTGATTTGTTGTCTGTGAAAATCATTAGTATTTTGCTTTGTAGTTAATTACCTATCATCCAAATCAACCGTTAGTCTTTCATTCGTCAATGAGATGGAAAGTCGATGATGATCGGTTACCAAGTACAGTTCTACACACAAGTCTACACGCTCAGCAGGAGAATCAAACGGAAACCCTCGTTGGAGAATGTTCGTTTACAATCGGTGAAATTTACATTTATCAACCATTAACAACATGGTTAAATCTGCATGATAGTGATAAAGTAAATGAAAGTAATAAATCAATCTTTTCTCGGCTAATTTTGACCTTCTAGGCGTATTTATATCGTGGTGAAATTAGTATATCTCTTTGTTACCATCCTACAGCCGATCGCTTAACTTGTTCATTAATTCAAGCACGAAACTTGACCTTCTACAAACGCGACTCTATCATCACTGGTATGATATCGACAGAGTGTTATGCGACCATATCTTTGCTTCATCGTCATCAAGTGAAAAGAAAAACTCGAACAAGCTATCATCATGCTACGGACGCAAACCCTATCTTCAATGAAACATCTGTATTCAATGTTTCGAGTAATGATCTTCTTACTTCGTATATACGCATTGTGATCTATGAAATCGTACCATCGATATCGTCGACAACAACAAAAACACTCGAAATAGGTCATTGTCTCATCGGTAATCATGATCGTACACAGCATATGTCTCATTGGCAACAAATGTTACGTGTGCTTCAACGTCCTGTCATCGTATGGCATCCGCTAAAATTGTGAAAACATCTTCGTCGATGATTGTTTAGACACGACTATCTTTGCCGTCAATGAAATACGTTTCCTACAAGCTATTTGTCGTTATCAGATATCCTTATGAAAATAGATCAGTTCGAAAGATGGATAACTATATTAATCACGGTAAGTAGCGTACTAAAGAAATAATTTTCCTTATTGATCTTTGCGTATGCATCTTTCAGATGAAAAAATGCTTATGTACAGATGGTTTGTGAATGACAGATTCTTTGCTGATATGTATACATAGTATTGTTCTTATTTTTTTATAAGATTATTATGAATAAAAAATGACTTTTCCATATATGACATAAAGGCGCTCGATATGTGAGAAAAACACAGATACGTTACCTGTTTTTTTGTTGTTGTTTGTTTATTGTAAAGTACACTTTCGACCTGCCCGTTTGTTTTGCGTGGGATACTAATTCGATAAGAAAGTTTTGCGCACTATGACGCTTAAACACACGGGCACGAGAAAAGTACGTACTTAGCTTGTAAATCGAATATAAACGTATCGTTCTAAAAACAGCTCAAGTTTTTTTCGTACTATTACGTGCCGTAAATCAAGATATGACATACACGTGTGTCGAGTTGTACATAGATAAGGGTGGGGGAAAATATATCTGATGCAGTTCTAATGTGGCAAATTATCGTTCAGTGAATGATTCATCGAAAATTTATCATTCATCCGTGCTTATGTGTACGTGGTGACTGCCTTCTACGTCTTTGGCAGATAACGTACAATAACTTAACGCACGAATCGAACATTATGCGATTACCTTGTTGCAGAAGGATATGTAATCCCTGTATTTACGCTTGATTTGCCAAGCGATACGATAAATAGAATGATGATAGTTTAAAATCAAATGTAAACAGTGTTATTATTATTATTGAGTATCGCTAAGGTAAACTTGTGATTATTTTTATCGTCGAAATATCGAAATGGCTACCGATCCTGTTGTTGCTCAACTAAGACCTGATCAGGTTCAAGAGATTACGACAGCTTTTATGGAATTTGATTGCAATCGCAATGGCGCTATAACCGCTCCAGAAATGAAGGAATGTCTTCGCCGGTCAAACATTCAATACCAAGACGCCGAAGTTGATCGTGTCATATCAAATATGGATTTGAATCACGATGGAAATGTTACTTATGATGAATACATGAAGTTTATGGCCCGTGTTTATACTGGACAATTCGATCAATTCCAACGAAATCCACCATCAGGTCCAGCACCTCCATATAATAATCAACCACCTTACAACAACCCACCACCGCCTCAAAACCAACCACCTTATAATAACCCACCGCCACAAAATCAGCCACCCTATAACAATCCACCACCACCACAAAATCAGCCACCTTACAATCAAAATCCTGCTCCATACAACCAGGGACCTCCTCCAGGTCAAGCACCTTACAATCAAAACCCTGCTCCATACAACCAAGGACCTCCAGGTCAAGCACCATACAATCAAAATCCCGCTCCATACAACCAGGGACCTCCTCCAGGTCAAGCACCATACAATCAAAACCCCGCTCCATACAATCAGGGACCTCCTCCAGGTCAAGCACCGTACAATCAAAACCAACCCCAGTCGTAAGCTCTCGATCGTCACATAAGTTATATGCATTATCCTTCTTTGTTTTAGTAATTATCCGCCACCACCGTCATCCAATTATCCACCACGTCCTTATTAAACTCCATATATTTACTTTCGCGCGCTTATAACTTTTCTTTTATCTTTCTTCTTTTCGCTTCTACTTTATCTTATTGTGTGAATTTACTACGTCTGCCACCGTTTTTGTATGATGTTCTTTTTTTATTAAGAGAAATAGAAACGAAAACGTGTCTTAGCTTCTATATCGATTTTTGAATGATATTCGTTATCGATCAGTTTTCTATAGTCAAAGTCTACGCAATCGTTGTTTATTGTACTATGCGTAATCAAAACAGAGGAGAACACAGGCGATGTTTACTGTTTGATGAAGGCCTATGATTGTTTTTAACCTTCAATTACTGTTTACAAAACGTATATGGTAGATAAACAACACATAAAGTATCTTATTTGGATTAAACGATTGGTCTTCAATCATTTAGTCATATACGTTTATAAAAAGAAACATTTGAAAAACGCGATGACATTTTAGCGACTATGAACGCAGATAAATATTTTTCTGTATCGTATATAAAATCTAATGAGACACATTCTCACGTGAAAACCGATCTCATTGACGAAATCAAATCTTCTATCTAATCATATGTGCTATTTTAGTCACAGAAAGAATGGAACAGTTACCAATTAGTACTAAGAACAATATATTTCATTTAGAAATATCATCAGTATTTTGTTATCATATACACAAACAAAAGTAAGCAAACGAATAAGTTTGGAATGCAATATAATCAATAATTCAAAGCACATATGAGCGCAACACCGCGTTTAATCCAGTATTTTTGTGGTTTCGATGAAGGTACTTCAATTGTAAACACGAAATTAGTCGAATGTCCTGTTGTCGATAATGTACCCGCACGTGTCAACGTTTTATACACAGGACACATGTAAATACCCGACGTTGGAACTTGTCGGTTTTGTTCTGGTTGTAGCCATATAACTGGCATATCAGTGAACAATTCTTTCGGTCGAGATTCTCCAAGAACGTGTGCCGCTTGATCCCACCGTGCACCTTCGACGAAAAGACCTCGGATATAACAACCATCTGTTGGCGCGTGGGTGATATCTTTCACCGCTTGTTTCATTATCTAGAAGATGGAAACGATGCTTGCTTGTTCTCGAAAATTTTCTGTCTACATACTTGAAAACCGAAACTGACAGTATCGATTGAAACGACGAATTTTCGAGCATAATTTTGAAGTGTACCAGTAAGAAACGCTTGCGGAAAGAAGAATCCACTGATCCAAAATATGGGTGGAATGCCATTATCAACCCATGTCTGAACGAAATCCACACGTTGAATTAAATCAGTAACCCACGATGCCAAAGGTTTCAAACTTGGATAAGCCTAAAATCTTTCGTTTTCTATCACCGAAGAAAAAACACATATCGAAACATACTGCTTTGCTCCACATGACCGGTACTGCATTGTTGAATAAACTTTTCGACATTTCTTCCAATGCTTGAGAAAGCACCACTAAACCTTTCATAGCTTTGAGCAGTTCTTGTAAAGATGTGTGAATAACATTCAACAATTTGTTGTATCTGAAATAAACAAGGAATGGTTGAACAAAACTCAACGTTGGAATATAGATTTTTTTACTTACCGAATAATTTCTTGGGTTAACACAGTATTCATTGACTAAAAGTCAGAAGAAATTATCGTTTATCACAATAAATGGTCAATTGGGGAAAAAAACTTCTTTTTCGAACTAGTTAACTCAATGTAATGTGTCATACATGTTCTCTACTCAGATTGGTTTCTAAGCGTTACCTGTTCGTACAAGACCGGATATTTCTCCATTACTGGTGCTAATGGTATCGGCTTTGGTACACGCGAAAGAACATCTTTAGCTAATTTTTCGATAACAACATCACGATTTTCACCCGCCGTCGCTGTTTTCGGTTGCAATTCAAGTAAATCGTTTAATGTACGATACGTTTCATTTTGTGCAAAAGTAACTGAAACGAGTACATTTTCAACAGGAATTTTCTTTACAATTAAGCCTTACTATTCGCATTATCATGTAAGCCAAAGATTTCTGGTGTATCGTTAATGGGTAAACTGCGAACATATGCAAGATATGCTGGATGTTCAGAAGTGGGTGGCAATTGATGGTAGATCTGTGATTCATCGTAGCAATAATTCGAATCGAGTACCTTTGGAGCATAGAAATCATCGAGAACATTCATGACGCAACGTCGATCCCAATCATCCGTAACACGACCACCTATAGGAATAGAAATAGAGTCTTACTATCGTCTTTCTTATCGATTCCACTTACCATAGTTGATTTCACCAGCTGTATATTTCAAGACCTACAAATAGCGGAGAGATGCAAAACTGAATTCAATAACAAAATTTCTATACTTTGTAAGCGATTTCTGTATATTCCATCAAAAACATTCGTAATTGACTCATACATATACGTAGATCACCATCGGTGAATTCGTACGGAATATTAAACCCAAGTGGACCTGAAAAAAAAATTGATCTATCCCAAACTGAAATCAGTCGAATAACTTACCGAACTTTCGTCGTTCAAGTAGTACAGCGTGGAACAGACAGAGTGATAGAAGTAGATGTTTGAATTCATCAACCTAAGTTCAGAATGGACAAATGACTTGTTGTGTAATCGAAATATTTTCATACCTTTCCAGTGCACGATGTGAGAAAGTCGTCGTTAAGAGTGACATATGATCGCAGAAGATTTGCTTTGATACCACGAGGTGGTTCGACTGTCATCTTACTTCCATTTTGTAAGATCATCACAGGAAATTGAGGACTCGGCATACTTGTTAACCATAATCGGAAATCTTTGTGCACCTGTCAAATGAGAAGTATAGTCAAATGAGATTTTCTTTCCTTTTTCCTCTGCTATCTTATTATTCTCTATACAATGGAAGAAGCGAGAAGAAATCATTATAAGTCTCTTGTATTTCTATTTCTCGGATATTTGTCGTTTGATAGATCAAATGATTTAATAAGCCTCACTCGATAGGAAAATATCGATAGAATAGAATTCACTTCGCGACATCGATATATTTATCTTACATGATCTGGATCGACTTGTTCGACTAATCGTTCCAAAGTTGGCATCCATGATGGCGACAAGTGACAATTTTGAAAAAACACCCATTGTCCTTTTTCCATAGCTGCACGCATCATTGCTTCAGCTCTTGGACCCTAGCAGAAATCAATGTATGTACGAAACTTTCTCTTTTTTCTTTCATTTTTTAAAATTATTTCTTTGTACCTGCCCTTGGCCAAGTGAAATGGTGTTGAGACGTTTAGCGAATTTCATTTCTTCAGCAAACTTGTACAGATCAGCGGCTGGATCTGTGCCGACAGATAAGACAAAGATCAAAGGAGTCGTAGCTGATGAATCACGAAAGACAAGATGTAAATCCGCCGTCTATGCATAAGAAGAAGACAAAATAGATTATTGATTGATATTATTCAGATACAATTGACACTATCAGCGAGTTTTTCATTTGCCTGAGAATTTCTGTCATTCATAACAAGAAAAATCTCTTCATATATCAATGCAGTTTCAAGAGTGATATATCAGTTCGGTCGAAATCAATGTGTCTATTTTGATAGATCGATAGATCGATCAATAAATCGTATACGTACTTGTGGCTCAATGAATTTTTGACCGAGATTATGAGACACGAAATCCTGCATTGCATTTGTCACTTTGTCAGGGCGAATACATTTGAGGAACATGATTTTTTGAAAGTCATCCAAACGATTAGCCCATTCTTGAGGTAGATGAGCTCTATGATAAGATACATCAATAAATAGAAGAAAAACTAATAAGTTCATGTCAAATCATATGCCCATTTGGGATAGGCATAAGTAGCAATCGAAAAAGTAAATAGCTGCTCCCCGAGGAAGAATATCCGCTCCTATGTCTGTCTTCTCGTTACTATTCCATTCTTTTTTTTGCTATATTATATAAAAATGATCTCATGATCATCGTCAAATACGACTATAAAGCACGTCAAATATAGATGTCTGAGAATACTAGGAACAGTTCTCTCCCTCTGTGTCTCTCTTTCCTCTATCGTTAGCATTTATGTGCATAAGCAACAACATACGATATCTTATTCTCATGATATATCGTCGAGTAGATCTGAGTAAAAAAAGTCGTATTCGATATCGTATCGGCATGTTAACACCAACATCGATCTTGAAAGGTAATAAAGTTCCTTCATCTTTTGCATTTAGAATAAGCATTACTGATTCACTTGCCGATTTCTCTAGTCGCGCTCTTCTTGCTCATTGTAATATTCAATAAAGATATCTAGACATATATATATTCTCTTCACATAGTTCATCATTGGCATAATTATTGTATTAGACTTCTTCTTGTCAATTGTCAATGAGAACAAGTATATGAGAAATATTATCACGATAGACAACGCACGATAATGTTAACCATCCACACAATTGCATTCCTGGTTTATCCATTGACTCAATGAACTATATCGCTGCGAGCATTGTCTATTGATTGAGTCGACGAAGAAATAAAGGAAAAGAATTTTGTGATTCTGCATAGTACGATCTATTCTATTCGTTTTCAAATATATTGTTTCTTCCTCCTACACATACACATCTCGAGATTACCTTTGAAAAAGTCAATTGATTTGCATATTGACAATTTCTTGTCTAATCTCGCAGATTTTTTCATCTAACGCTAAAGAATTAGAACATTAACAGGCAATGGTTTTTTTTTTCTTAAGAAAACAAATATGCCCTGTAGGCTAAATGTAGTTGATGTGTTCAACATTACATATACTGACAACCAACCGATTTCTTTTCTTCTTCGTCAATAGGCAAGATGAGGTAGGAGATTCGTACTGTTCTTAATGCATCTTCCATTACAAATTAGATAATGTAGACTAACCCCCACTGAATTGAGTAGCGCATATCTTTTGCCTAGATCTCCTTTTTATTCGAATTTTACTTATTTTTCTCATAAATTTAACAAACAGATGAAGAAGGCTACTCGTTGACTAAGTAGTTCGCTCGAAGCTGTTTTCTGAGTTATTAGTTTTTCTCTTCGAATCTGCACTCTTTCGATTGATAAATGATTTGACTGATCATCCGTACGAACGAATAAAAGTATCTTTATATATATATATATATGCTTGTACTTACTTTTCAGGCTCACTGCTGTCGAATATTTGCTTGTAATCTTTGATATAAGTTTGGAAATTTTGTGCAAAACCTTTGAATGCGTTTATTGATTCAAGTGTAAGTATTTCTGACCAAATACGATCCGTTATCCACTTAGGAGCGGGATTGGGTACATCAACAGGTCGCGTTGAACCACCAGCCAAGAAGAATCGATATTCGTTCTAAATAGAACATTCATAGTTATTGTTTTTAGATAAACAAACAGGAATATTGTCATCATGTATAAAGCTCCTTGTTTATTAAACGTCAATGGATCGATTCGTTCGAATGCACTACATGATATCGAAGTTGCTGGTTATCGTTATGTGATGTTAACAATTTGTATATTCGGTGTCGTATGTAACATACTTAATCTATGTGTTCTTGTTCAACGTCGTCTCAAAGAATCTCCCTATACTTATCTCACAGGCTTAGCATTAGCTGATATGTTAACATTAATTTCCTTTTCACCTGTTTCAGTCGTGCGCGGTGATTATATTAGACATGAAGACATCTTCTTTACTTTGACGCGTCTCGAAGCGCGACTATTCGTACCCATGGCAAATTACTTTGGTCAAGTTAGTATCATGATTACCGTTGCATTGACTGTCGAACGTTATTTATTCACAACCTATCCATTACGTACACAGAGTTTCTGTAAACCAAGTTATGCACGTCGCGTTATTGCTATTATCATGGTTCTATGCAGCCTGTTAAATCTTCCGAGATTTTTAACTGAAACAGTTGAGAAGAAGATTGATACCGAAACGAAATTCAACTCATCGAATTGCGTCACGCATCCATTTCAAATCCGATACTCATCAACAAATACTTCTCATATGGGTCAATGCTTTTGCGTAGTCGGTCACACAGAAGAAAGTTTCCTGCCATTGAAAAACTATTATTACTCTACTATGTTAGGTATCAATCAAATAATTCCATTCGCCATATTACTTTGTTTGAACTTAAGTTTAATCACACGTGTACAATCATCAAATCGTTACACGTTAGCAGAATTGATCGCCCGACAACAACGGAATCTCAATTCAACAACCGCTGGTGTAAGTGCTGCAGCACAAAAACGTCTTCGCGACGAGCATCGCTTAACAAAAACTCTCGTGGCTGTTGTGATCGTCTTTCTCATATGTAACACATTTACCATTATCTCGTACCCTGGTCTCGTACGGTCCTTAACCAAAAAGAAATATCCAAATTACTACTACGTTGGTTTTCGTATACAAAAGTTAATCACGAACATTATGCTGTTATTAAACTATTCGATTAATTTCTTTTTCTATTGTGCATTTAACGAAAAATTTTTGTCAACGTTAAAGAAAACCTTTCGATACGAGAAATTATTCTGTGGTCTCATCTCGTCGCCACATCGAACATTACCCTCCGCTATGTCGTCAGCAACATTACAATCGACCGTATCTCAAACCAATCAATGTATTTCCGCATATCACTTACGCACAGAAGAATCAAGCCGACGACGAGGAAAACAAGAATATAAACAGATCTCGGAAAATGACTTGATAACAAATAACGATTTATAAGTCGAAATTGTCAGTCATTATTGAATAGTCAACCGTTGAGATGATACAGAACAGTTCTTATTACAAAATGCATCGAATTAGACTAGCATAATCATCATGTCAAGTTCAATTTACATATGGAAAGACAAATAATCTCTGTTGTTTGTTCGCTCTTGTCTTGATGAAAGGAAACAGAATCGAACTTACCATTTGGATTTTCTTTTGATTCATTAATATTCGTACAGTTAATAAGAATGCAAATAATAATTTATGTTTTTCAAATAAACTTCGACAGACATTGCAATAAAGGCTAAACGTGAAATAATCGTTGATGTTCTTGATGCGATTTTCCAAATTATCTAGAAATAAGCAAACATTTTTGTTGAGAAATAGCAATAGAAAGAGAAAAACATTCTACCTGCTCGTGGTGCACTTTGAATGCTGGTTAAGAAGATGTTTGTGAACCATTCTAATGAGTACTGATACATAGGATCAACATTTGCCAAATCGGAAACACAGAAGAACAAAATTTGTGTATTCACGGCGACAGGAACATATTCAGCGCGGGTTATATCAATATCCTTTTCTGTCTGTTCGGCCGCTTGCATTTTCGTCTAAACAAAACGAGCGAAATAAATCTTTGTGCTACTCAAACAATGACCACAAACTTTGATTTCTGTGGATTTAGCTTTTGATGCTTCGAGAGCTGTGATTAATTCGATATCATCGACTGGATTATCACTTGTACTTAATTTTTCCAAAATCGTATCTTCTAACGCTTTCAGTTCGTTGCGCATAGTGGCATTGGATACAATCAGTGTATTTTTCATTTCTTCCAAATCAGGACGTTCTTCAGCAACAACACGTGCTAACATTTGATCTTCCAAACCACTAAAAACAAACAAACAAACAAATGATATACTTCTAGAGAAAATGATCTTTATTTTTACCTTGGGGATAACGTGAAGTTCACCAGTGTTACTTTAACCGATATTTCTGGTGTATATTGTGGATTCGGCAGTTTAGTGGTAATATAAAAACGAAAATCATCATGGTACGGTATAGTAGCATCACCCAGCTTGATTACGGTGCTGCCCGATTGACGAAAAGTCTGTTTAAATGAAAAAGAGTAATGACTATAATAGTGTTGTTTAAAATATTTACTTGACGCAGTAGAACGGGTTCGAGAGCTAAAAAGAAAATATAAGTTTCTCTCAAACTTTACGAAACTGCGTAAGACATACCAGGATCTATATCTGTTCCTACGTTTTCTAATAGACATGGTTTACCGAATCGAATCGAATTTTCTAATGTTCGTAAATAATCACGATCCGACAGTTTCATCACATCGAGACCTGTATTTTTTTCCTAAAATTTCAATATAACAACAACAATGAATTTCATCTCTCATTCATAGTTTCACTTATACCATATTTTTAATCCATTTATTTGCTTGTCCTTGTGGATCGATGAATAACGGCCAACGATTTGAATATTGAACGATAACACCGTTTTGTACGGATAAGTTATCCTTTGGTAAGCCGGCTAATTGCCAATTACGAATCTTGACAGCATCACCCAAGACTCGAACTAATTCTGGATTGTCGGAATGTGGTACATTGTATGCAGTTAACTTCGTAATCCATTCTCGGACCATATTTTCACGGTATTCAGCCTAGAATGAGGGAATGGGCTTTGAATAGAAGAGAAAAATGATTTTCATTTAAATATTTACAGTAAATGGACCAAGATATGCAATAAATCCCGAACAAACGAGCACATCGCCAATGACATTTCCTAGAGAATTGTCCAACATCGCAACATTTTCCTGCCAACGAATTTTTTCATCGCCCAAACCAGTTGTTAACTAATCAATATCAGAAACGTCTACATATTCATACCCATATAAAGAAAAGGCAAACTTACTCGTTCTGCACGCGCAATTCGTTGATTACATTCGTCGACTTTAGTTTCATATTCTGTTTTCTTTCGTACAGCATCTTCATATTTGACTTGTAATGTTCTTAAACCTTCTTCCAATTTTTTCAATTCACGTTTCTTTGTTGCCAATACTTCTTTGACAATAGCTAATTCGGCTTCAGCATTTGCTAATGCTTCTTTACGTGGTGCGACTTCTTTGTTAATCATATAGAATGCGTACATTGCTCGACACCACATGCATAACGATTTGCACGCTTTCGACGTTTTCTCAATCTTAATCGGATCAAAATCAGGACTGTCAATATGTTTTTGTAATTTCTGTATGACAATTTCCGGAATGTTTTCTTTATCGAATTCTCGCAGTGATTGAAGAAATTTACCGGCATCAGCTAATAAACCACGACCAGGTTCCCAATAATCATCTTCTTTCTTTCCTGGCTTATTTGGTACAGGCACCTTCAGTGGTTCAACTTGTTTTAGAATACACACGGCTTCCATTGTTAATTTGACACCTTGCGGCGGTCGTTGTAGAGCACGTACTTCATTGATATCATTTTTCGATAGAACTTCAAGACTCTGTAATGCAGCTTCAAGTGCAGGCATGGCTTCTGCAAGCCGTTCTGATGCTTCGCTGGCGATAGCACGAGTTTCTTTGACTTTCTTCTGTACTTCTTCTTCTTCGCTGGCTACTTTAGTTTTGATTTCTTCCGTGCTTGATGTATCTTCAGCGATTTTCGCCATCGTTTCGTTCGTTTCTTGGACAGCTTGATCAAGTAACGGTAGCATTTCATTCAATTCAACACGCAATTTCGCCACGTCTTTCTCTGTTGACAACAATTTGTCCAAACCTGTTTTCGTACGTCGTTTAGCTAACACTAGTTCATCTTTTTTCTTGCCGAAGATTTTCGAAAAGATATTCAGCAGTTCAAGATAAGATGTCGGTGTAACATAATTATGTCGACTCATTTCTTCACGATATTTTGTTGTCATCAAAGCTGCAGATTGATGTATCTCTTGACATAACTTGACTAGACCTTGGACAACTTTTGCATCGGCCTCTAACGTTGGCATATTGTTCAAGTAAGTTTCTGAGACAGCTTCCAAAGCATCTTTTGGCCATTCGGAATACCAATCGATTGTACAGCAACTAGAAAAAAACACACGCTGAGATAGTACACAAATCTTCTGCTGTTAACTTACTTCACCAAAGCCGGAAATTGACGAAGTCGAGCACGGAAAATTTCGCCGATAGGACTAAAACAAAGTGATTACTTCTTGTTTAGAGGAACGCTTTTGAATCTTGATATTTACCTCATACAAACGACAGTGTGCAGATTTTGTCGCACGCGTTTTGTATAAGCTGAATAAAGATTCGTTTTAGTTGGCGGTAGGCCAGCTTCAGATACAACCGGTTTCATGACAGTATAAATTTGTTCGAGTTCATCAAATTGATAAATATTTGGCACATCACCACTATTTAGGATGTTATTCAAATCTTCCAAAAACGATTCGCTTTTGATCTATCAGAGAAAAATCATTCAAAAGAAAGCGAAGATATTCATTTGTATACTTGTGTATCCGAGAAGAGAAACACCGTCGGAGTGTTACGAAGACCAGCGTGTAGCATAAATTTTCTCAAGTCATCTTTCCATTCCGTCATACCTATGATTGCAAAAAGTCTTTTTCCTGTATCAATTCAGTTATCTTCATCAAATTAACTTACCATAACTTTTGGATAGTTGAATTGAACGAAGTTCATATTCCGAACTACAAATAAAAATTTTCTTTTCTATTGAACTTTTCTCAGTATAGACACATACATGAATGCAGCAAGTCGTGTGAGTGATTGTCGACCAGAACCGCCTACACCTAACAGCAGTGCATTACCAAGCGGTTGTTTGATAACACGTATGATTCTTGAAATATGCTTCATGGCATCCATGAATAACACTAGGTTCATTTTAGCAACATTGATTTGATTGTACTCTTCTAAGTATTCATCTAAACGATTCTTCATCTACAGAGAAAGAGGCATATGAACATTTTCTGAACAATTTTCTTTCTGATTTATTTACTAGTTTCACGTCGTTCAGCTCTTGATAAGATTTATCAGCTGTTTGAGCAACAAAATCACCATAGAGCACAGGTTCTTGTACGACATTCTCGAAATTCATACTGAAATCCGATTTCATATGTTCAGCCAGTAAGTTCCGGAACCAATCTCGATCTTCATCATTGATTAAACGATCTTGAAACACACGACAGTTCTCATGGTACCATAAACGAAGTAGACTCTCGACATTCTATAAGACAAATCCTTATTCCAACAAATTCAACTTAACAATCTATCTCACATCAATTTTCTTCGCCTCCATCATCAACATTCCTTGAAAAACTTTGGACAAATCTCGAAGATTGAACGTGTAATGAGATTTGCTCGGTGTTGGAAGCAACGATGCACATATTGTTTTATAAACTTCAATCGACGACATGACCAGTTTCTCGCTAAGACCCAGGACAAACTCGTTATGTCTCGTCCACCAGTTGAATATCGTTGAAAAGATCTTTCTCATACTATCGTTCTCAAGTTCAGTGAATGATAAGAAATTGAAATGTCGTGTCAACCGTGGTGTAACTGGATTACGACCACCACTAAACAAAGAGAGAATTTTTGTCGTGAACAAAGATCTTTCTTGTCAAATGAATAGATCTTCTTACCCTGGTGGACCCATCGCACAGATGAAATTGATATCAACTAATGTACGGAATTCACCGACAACTTTTCGATCGTACCAGCCTTTAAAGTCCATGTATTGTCGAATCAATTCGATTGGTGGCTGAGCACCGTACGTTTCTAGAGCTGGCATGTTCAAATCATCGATAAAGAACAGAAATACTTTGCCTAATGGTGGACCGTAAATACCACGACGTCTTCAAAGACAAAAACACGTATGAAAACCTTCAAGAAGTGCTCTTTAGTCAACAAACCTTTTATCTAGTTTTGAATCGATTAAATCTTGTGTTTGATTTGCATTTGTTTTCGCTGAAAAGACAATAAATTCAGGACTGAATTCTTTCGGCATAGAACGCGTTAATTTATCAGCAACTGTTAATGTCTTGCTTGTTCCTGTCGGACCCACGCAGAGCACTGGTCGATCCATTCGAAGTAACATTTCAATAATATGTGCATTACGGATGTTATCAATAGTTGGCACAAGTATATCCGAAAATTTCGCATCGTTCGATATTTGAAATGGCGGTAAATCGGCTAACCAATGTTTCCATCGCGGTTGACGCTTTTTACTGTCATCACTGCCTTCTTCTTCATTAGCTTTTTGTTCTTCTGTTGGCTGAACAATACCACCATCGTCGAACACATAATCGTAAACAAGTCCCTCGGCAGGAATTGCAAGTTTTATCTATGAATAAACATTGAATAAAGAAAAACGACAAGTTATCTGTGGCGAACCTACCGGATTGTGTACGAGTTTTTGACGTAACCATTCGGAGAATTTTCGACGCGAGTCATTATCACATGATGCACCAACGGACCAGATAAGCGAGAAAATGAACCACGGTTCGATAAGTTCAGCAACACGTTCAGCTGCTTCGGGCGGAGCTGGTTTGTCAGACTAAATATGACAAGATAGGATCATAGATGCATATGAACTATTGAAAGATATGTCAAAGTCAATAAATATGGACAAAGCATAATGCAGAAGCAAAAATCGAAAACAATTTAATTTGTTACTAAGATAATTAATAGAGTAAAACAACGTAGCAAACTAATGTGACTTACACGACCCTGACGTTGTCCTTTCTAATGAAATAAAAAGTGAGAAAAGATATTATTTATGTGAATGTTTTCTTATTTTTGTAATAAGAATGCTTAAGAAATATCTAAAAGAGATCTGATCTTTAACTTACTTCTCGCGGTCGAAATGGTTGGATGAAACAATCGAGCATTTTTATCAGACTAAATGTTAAATTACTATCATATGTTGGAATGATTTCTTTCACATTCTTTCGTAGGAATTTCAAGGATGGCTAAAGAAAGATAGATCAGTAATTGATTTGCTGAAGTGAAGATGAATTTGATGACTTACTTCGAGAAAATTAGTGAATAGTTGATTGATTTGTTCGTAGTATTTAAAGATTGCATCGGGTAACTTTTTCATCCAACATTCGATGAATGGTTGTAGACCGAGAATTGAAGGTTCTAAGTAGACCATACCACAACGAGATACAGTAGCAGGTGATGCTTGAGACAGATCAGCAACTTCAAACATCATTGTCATCGCCTGAAAAGAAGTAGTTTGTTTTGTATATTAGGAGATTCACCATTTCTTTCAAAAAAAAATCATACTTCAGTCATTTTGATAATTTCACCACTACTCAAACATAGTTTTTTGTTGTCGTCTAGTACTGTGTTCATATTTTCAATCCATACAGCATCGACAGGACCTAAAATTCGTAGAATATTCTTGATCTCTCTCTACAAACAAAACTTCGAATTTACCATCAAATAGATACCACCGTTTATCATCATTTTCGGCAGCTACGCCTTGTCGCATCAAAGTAGAAAGTATACCATCGGTCCTAAACATCACTCATATGTTGCAAATCAAAGTTTATCAAGAAAATTTACCATTCATGAGTCAAATCATCGAATGCACCGTACAATTGACCCATAGTAATGGATTTTGGATTGAGAACATAGGTGTGTACGGGTTTGAATGGTGAACCGGCCGGATTGATTTTTCCTTTCATATGTGTCATAGCTATTTGTAAAGATTCATAACTCTTCGTTTTGCCAGAGCCTGTTGGACCGACAAGCATCAGACCTAGACAAGCCGAATGTACTAAGTAACTTCTATGATCATTGCGCTTGAACTTACCGTGTCGAACAATGGTTGTTTCGAATAACTGGATACATTTGAGTAAAAATCCGTCAACATCTTTGAGATTAAGTTGACGACATGCATGGCGTAAACCTTCTTCCAGTATTTTATAGTCGATAGGTTCCTCTCTACAAATACATGCATTCTTTCAATTGCTATTACTTAATAACCCAGTAAGTCTTACTTAATCTTCGGGAAAAGATCAGAAACGATACCAGTAAATAGTTTCAAATCATCTTGGAGAAATTTCGGAATGTTAACGTCACGAATGGCTCGCAGACAAATTAAATCCTAAGGAGGTATAGGGAGATTATCATACGAAAGAAATCGATCGATGACTAACTTCATTCATGTTTGGATATTGTCGTTTGAGATTGCCAGCTGCCGAAATGACAGATTTGACGGCACGCATACCGAAATCGTAGTGATCTTGTGAACTCAATTGTTCTGATGATAACTTGAATGTTTGAACAATCTTTTTCGCTAAAGGTTTAGCATCGGAAAAGCCAAACGAAAATAGTGAATTCTCAGCAATAAGACCATAGTCCGGAACCATCATAGCTAAATGATAATTAGTTGAATTTCGTAGAGACGCACTACTCCGTCACTTACCGACTGGTCGAAATAGAGCTTTAAGATTATCGGGCAATTCAGTACTAAAATAAATCATTGTTTAAGATTAACTATGAGAATGTCTAGCATACCGTCCAGCATAACCTGGATTCATTGTAATGAAAACGGCACATGAGGATTTGAGAACGATTTCTTTGCCTTCAAACATGAATCTTTCAGCCTAGACGAACAAAAACATGTTTAGAACACTAATTCAAATAAATCTTTCAAAACTAATAATCAGCAAAAAGAAATCAATTATGTTAGTAGCGTAATCACTATACACGAGTTCGAAGAGTTAGTTGAATCGTTAGCACTTGGTTTGCCACTACTGATAGAACTTCAATGTTGATGCGCTATCATAGATTATAAATCATCATCGATATTCCGTTTCATTTAGTATACTAACATTAAACTCATCCAAACAACACCAACAACCACAACTGATAAGATGTATATATTAAAATCGGTTATTATCATACGAAAACAAATCAGTTCACCACACCGATTATCAAATTACCTTTTGCATTAAAGCCTGATTAATCACTTGAATCTGTTGAGCAACTACCGAAAGTACTTCAATATCGATTCGATTAAATTCATCGAAGCAAGCCCATGCACCGGCACTGAAGGAAGAAAGAAAGAGCAGAAATACTTGAATCTGAGCTAAGAGATTTGAATCACAAGAGAGCCCATCAGAATCACTCGATTATATCCCAAATGAATCACAAGAATAGAGAAGAAATCTACGTTTTTGTATTGTATGTGTTTATACCCGTAACTGACATGCACGAAGAATTGTTGAAACTTGGTTAGCAACAACACTCAAGACTTCAATATCTATACGGTTAAACTCATCAAGACACGCAAATGCTCCGGCACTTTACATGTTGTGATGATATACGAATAAAAATTCGTTGTGGATATACAATGCATAACTGTACTCACCTTGCTAAACCGCAGAAAAACTTGGCCATAGCCTAGAATAATAGATAAGTATTCAACTAAGTTTGAATAATCATTACCATAAAATCTAATTGATCAGAACAGTTGAACACGACACATTGAACAGCCATCGCTTTAGCTAAATCTTTAGTTGTTTCCGTTTTTCCTGTACCAGCGGGTCCAGCTAAAGAATAACTTGGTTATCAAGTCAATTCTACGGAAGTTTTGATTTTACCTGGTGCACCACCGAATTTCAAATGTAAAGCGCCAGTTAATGTCAGATAACACCGGTCAGTCAACGGTGTAATAACCAAACGTGGTGTATTACCTAAATACTCATAACCATAACGAAATTCTGCGTTGACAGCACGAATGTACAGATGATCTTCATTCCAATAATAACGTAACTAATCAAATCGAAGTAGAATTGTAGTGAAATTCGTTTCCTTGTATCTTACTTGTGAGATCCATTCAAAATCATTGACATTCATAACTTTTTCCTCGATGAGATTGATGACCACATCACGTGCGTGTACTTCAATAACAATTAATGCTTTCAATGTTTCACGTGCATTATCAGTTAATTCGCCGCGTACTAATTCTCTCAATTCATCCAGCTCATGTAATTGTTGTTTATGATATTTCATAATTTCTTTCTTTTCCAAGGATTCCGAGACTTGTCTAGTCCAGAATGTTTGCGAACCAGCAACAACGATTTGACCTGGCCAGTACTGTACCCATTGCTTACGTGGTCGCTAAAATAGGATGGAAACACATAATGACAAGATTTCATGTCTTCTATTTACTGATGTATAGTCTTCTAAAGCGTCTCGGATAATTTGTCGTAATGTTTCACGCATGACACGCTCGATTTCACACATCCAGTCTTCGACATTACCAACAGGATAGATCTCTTTGCGAAAAGTGACTTCTTCTTGTTCAGCAGAATACATTTTCGATATACGCATATCGTCTTCGAATTTAACCTATGTTGAGAGCGACAAAACCCAAATAACAATAACAGATTATGTTCTAAATCGAATTACTTTAGTGATGTTTTCGAAACATTTACGTAAATGTGGCTGTACAGCTTTCGGATCTTTAGTTTGTGACAAAATTTGAAGAAGTTCATCGTCCGACAAGAAATAGAATCGTGGAAATGCCATACGTTTGGTTTCGAGATATTCACTCAAACCTTTTTGTACTTGTTCGAGTAATTTATTTGCTTCACGTAGATTATCACGTAAACGTGCTTCAGGACATAAAGAAATTACTTCGGGATTCTCCTTTGCCTGTTTCATGACTTTACGCCAGATACGTTCCATTGTTTGATATCGTTTCGATTCTACAGGCAACTGTCGAATGATATCTTCCGATGAAAAGATTGGCTCGAGATACTAAAAACAAAAGCAATGAAAAGCAATCAGTACAGGAAGATAACACTCACCAGCCATGAACGCTGACAGGCAAGCCATTCGTCAAGTACTTCTTGTGTAATTTTCAATTTATTCTCCCATTGAGCAATACGCTCTTCGAATGCTTTCTTGAATGGCGAAAACGACATTGATTGTGTAGCAACGATATGATCATCGAGCATTTGAGAAATTTCTTCGGATGCTTTGATAATATATGTACCAGTTTGTTTGTAGGGTAAAACTTCGAATCGAATAGGTTTCCATTCTTGTTCCATTTTGTCGAGTTGTTGTTCGATAGAAAATTCTTTGCCAGCTTTTTCTGCAACTTTCGATATCAAATCGATATGCTTTTGTAAGCCCATTTCGAGACATTTGGCAAATGTTAGTTCTTTCTTTGGTCGAACAGCCATTTTGACTAATTCCGAAAGCTAAAACAGTTCGAAATAAACTTTAGATGAAAATAATATATCGATCGGAAAAACCAACCTCTTCCCAGTGACGATTACGCATACCAGGTGCACGTAATGCTTGAATGAGTGGAATTGAAGGTTTGAAATCTTCGATCTGACCTTTGATTGTTAATGCTACCAACTGAATGCCTAAGGTAAATAAATAAGAACGATGTTAAACGTCATCGCTCGAGAATTTCTTCAAAGCACATGGATACAATATTATTTGTACACAACAATCATGCGATCCTTTACATTCATGCGATACAGAATATCAGAAGGAAGAGTTTTTTCACTGGTAGGTTCTCGTAGTACAAAGAGCGATGTAAATAGAAAAACCTCGTATATCTATTGTATCAGGGTCATCAATTTTAGCGAGTAGAATAAATTTCGCTGAAAACATTTATACATAATTGAGATATTCTCGAAAAGAAGCGTTGCACACATCATACCTTCATTGTCCGCAAAGGTTTTTATCGATTTGTGTGTGTTTTTGTACCTAGAACGATAAGTTGAGTGGATTCGACAGGAGAATTCAACAGAGAACTTCATACATTTCAGTAACATTCTTTTCGATATCTTCGGCATTGACTGAAATGATCGGATCATTCATCCAACTGTCATATGAACGAAGCCAGTCGGAAGTTGTCGACCAAAGGATACGATATGGCTCGAAATCTTTCACAAGTCGGGTTAATTTTTCGTACTAGCAAAGTCAAACAACGGAAATTACTCTTCTGTATTCAAAATTATTGAATCTACTTACGTTTGTAACAGGCAAACCGAGAAGACGTTCGCGATTGTTATATGTTTGTGACGCTTCGACACATTCTTTCAGTGCTTTGTTCAATTTACGACATTCATTCGCCACTTCATGTGCGCGATCCATACTCATATGTCCCGAAAGACCAGCAACAGACATCTAATTTGGAAAAATAAAACAAAACGTGTTTAAAAAATAATGCTATGATAATGAGACGAACTATAAGTTGGTCGATCTTATCGTTAAGTGTAGCTGTATCTTGAACTTGCAGCTTCTTAAAACGATCTTCATCTTCCTTATGCTGTTCTTCAACTTGTTCAAGCATAGTTCGAATTTTCCATGGCCATGCTAATACACCATACCTTTAAAATGCACCAAAAATAAGCATGCAAGAAGAATTTTTGCTCTATATCCGCATGACATACTTCAATCCGAAATCTTCATTACTTAAATTGTACATGAATTCATCAAGTACAACATATTCTTCTAGTACTTTTTGAATATCATCCTAGATCATCGAATGTACATACAACCGGAAGCAATGGAGAACAAAATTTACTTTTTTATCATCAACTTGTTCGGGAACTGATTTCATCCATTCACGATGCTCAGATAGATCTTCTGCATTGTTTGCCTTTTCGTATAACTTCCGTTGAATGTCACGGAAGGTATCATTGAGCTAAAATTCACATAGGAAAATTGACGTTAGCTGAATACAACTCATACTTCTTCTGTTTTCGCTCGTGCTTTTCGTGTTTGACTTGCCAATAAAGCTTCGACTAGCGCTTTTCGTTTATTCGACAAAGCTTCGCGCAGTTTTTGTGCGGAAATGAAATAAGGGCCAATAATGATCGAAGTTGGAATACTTTTCTCTAATTTATCTTTTTCATGAATATGAATCAGAATTTCATTTCGATATTCTTCGATCGATTTTTCCGTTTTCTCAAAATCTCTAAAAAAAAACCATCAACAAAACTCTCATCCTATCAACTTTGCAACGATCATTTCACGTACTTGATATATTGATCGATGTTCAGATTCATCAATGGCGCATATGATTCATAGGCTAAATGATCGACGGGTGAAAACTTTGTTCACGAATAAGATCTATTCTTACCATCAGCATAAGCTTTCAATGGAACAAGCGATGCATAGACAGCTTTCTGTAATGTCTCTCGCCATTCGATCACTTTCTTTTCTTGTAAAGCAACGGATTCTAATCGTAACATTTCACCACCCCAAAAGATATTCTCCATTACATCCTAGAAAACAAGATATTCACATTGAATTCATCATGATGCATGAGGCTCGCCAGCTACTTTTTCAATTTGTGGTATAGCTTGTGTTTGTAAAATCGCACGATCGAAGGCACCAAGAATGATGTTTGGAAAACTTTCGTACGATGTTATGTAACGTGGACCAGCTTGATCAATAGTTAAATCCAAATGAAATAATGGATTCTTCGGCGGTCTGGAATAAGGAACGAATAGTCAGAGAAAAAATATTGATGTGAATACATACTTATAAGGAGTTGTGATTAAGTCATCTTTGGGCCATTTGAAGCCTTCTTTCATATCTAAAACTGGCGTACAAGCATCGACGATCATTCGAACATAGTTTTGACACGAATCTTGAACAAGAAATCGAAGCGTATCTTGCATCATGAACTTCACACGTTCGATAAACGTCTTCAATTTTGATACTTTATATATATGATAGTCTGATTCGTTGATATTGTACCTTCAATTCAAATTCTTTCTCAGAAAAATGTAGAAATCTAGATTTCATTTACCATCCGCGTCCAACATCGATGAATTGTGTTTTAATACCTTGTCGAAGATTGTTTTTCCATGTGTCGGTTAGATACATATGTGTCTAAGACGAAGTGTGCTTTTTTTTCAAAATCGATGAAATAATTATCGATAGAAACTTACAGTTGATGTTTGATTGACTTGCATACTTTCGAATTCATCGAGTTTGACATGTTTCGGAAAATTCTTTTGCAATAAACTTAAATTGTTAACTACATAATCACATTCGGTTCGAACGAGTTTCAACGCATCAATTGCTGATTTCGATGTTAACAAGGAAATGAACTAATGAAAAAAAGAATTTAAACGTAATGTGGTAAATAGGAAAGTTGCCAACAAACTTTGAATTGATCGAACACTTCGTTGAAAGAGTATTCCGGAACGCTAATACAGCCAGAACGAGGTACAGGTCGACGTTGTTTGATTGGTAGAGTAATAAACGCAAAGGAAATCGGATCGGATTGTGTAACATTTTCGAATATCATCGAATTCATCGTCCGTGCATAATCTAAATTGACTTCTTCGACAATTGGTGTAACGTACTCGTCTTTTCTAAAGAGAAAGATCAGAGTGAAACAGCTGAAAAAACATCCGATTTATTCGTACATTGTTTTCGAAATGGCACTTGTTTTAGTTAATTCAATCATTCGTTTGATACGCTCGTCGTCAAGTTTACCGGTACCATCGGTGGGCATACAATCAATGAATAATGTTGAGCGAAGTTCAGCCTCCGTACGTTTTCGATCATGATAGGCTTTTGCCACACGATCAGCAAATACACGTGGATCTTCGGCTAGAAAATGTAATTGAATACGAGGAACCCAGTAACGACCGTGGGTGCCATCAGGTGAATAATTATGATGATGACCTGCAAAAACTTTTAATGTGCAGGAGAAATTCAAATAGATGCACAAACCGTTCGTAGCGGAACTAGCGCCGGACCGTGAACCATTATCAGTGGCTTCTATTTCTTTACGACTTCGTTTTGTTGAGCGATACATATCGAACACATCATGTTCTCGGTCGTCCGGTGTTACAAGCCATAATTGTTGTTCCGCATCATAGTCATGGATACTAACATTATGCCAGTGGAAACGAAGACTACTATCTTTGATATCAGCTAAAATGTTACAGTAAATCATCATTGAGAGTTGCTGAGAAAAGACGAGGGCTTACTAATTTGATCGGCAGGTACGTTCGGTAAAAGAGCAACACCGGGTAATGGTTTATTTAAGCCGGTAAATGGATCATGGCCTAGCGCAAGCCATGATTCTGGTGTCCAAATTTCAAAATCTGTATCGTCAAAATAATATAATGGTAAAAATGAATCGAATGGCGCTGGATCCTAAAAAAAGAAAATATGTGGCATTGATTGATAAATATGAGATCAATGTTTCAATTTTACTTCATTCGGAATATTCAATGTGACAATTTTATCAGCAGGTACATATTTTGGCATTAGTTTATCTGTATCAATATTTCGTTCCTCGAGTAAACTTGGTAGATCCAGTGATAGATACAGACGTTTTCGTCTACAAAATCAAAGAGACAGTATTACTCATCCATAACCTGCCGATTAGAGTTACCGTTCGATTTCGACTTTTCTTGGTAGTTTATACGGTGCCGTATAGAACGGCATAAAAACTTTTGGCTCGTATGTTTTTTCCAAATAGATATCACTGCGTTTGTATTCAGTAGTAAATTCTCCTTCTTTACTATTGGCCAAGATTTGTGCCACATCGATTCCTTGCAAATCGAAAATACTTGCTATAATTTACACAAAATTCCTTTCAAATTATTGAATTGAACATTTTGAAATGAGCATACCTCGCGCTGAATTCGACATACGAAACGTTTCCCGTAAAACGTCATCGTGTGCAATTGGAGCTTGTTGTGAAATCTATATTTTCAAAAGTTTAGCGATATCAACAAAGGAAAACTTCCGCTGTTTTACTTGAAATCTGGTGTCGGGATCAATGGTTGCTAGTTCGGAATAATATCCGCGTTCTCGAAGCTCGCGATTTCGCCGACTGCGATCGATTTCATCATCATTTGCAGCCGTACTAGCACGGGAATGTATGGATCGACTAGAATTCTGTCGATTTCCATGACGTCCGTTCTCTTGAGGCATTGCGAAACTTTATACTATTTCGTACAAAATGTTTCTTTCTTCTGTTTATACCGTTGTTCAGTGCAAACTAATTTCTTGTTCTCGTTGATTCTATGCAGACATTTGCATTTATATGTAAATTACGTTGTCATAGTAATGAAATTCTCGTTTCTTCATTCTCTCAACCAACAAAGATGTCGGTAGCTTTTTGAGTCTTACCGATCGATTATGTAAAGGGCAAGAAGATTAAGGTATTGGGGTGTTGATAACGTATAAATAAAGCTCGAAGTTGGGTTTTATCTTTTTAATGCAAGAAAAAACAAAGCACCATGTTGATTCTTCTGCTCTGCTTATTGAATTCGGTTGTATCCGATCCGTTTTTGTCGAAGTTTTATACTTATGGATACAAAAAATCATTTAAAATGACACCACTTAATCTAGCAAATCTGAATCTTATTCTCTCATCACCTCATGCCGGTAGTGAAATACCAAATGGCATACCCGACCGTACCCCTGGTGGATGCCGACATAATTCTACAAACGCATGCACATTTCACTACAACGATACATGCGCCGATGACGTTCGCTGTCCTGTCACAACCGTGCAGGATTTCGCAAGTTATGATCCACTTGCTGAACTACTCGCCAAAGAATTGTATGAAACCTATAACGTTTTACCATTTGTAGTTGTGGGTAATTGGAATCGTAAAAAGATCGATTTCAATCGTGAAATCGTAGAAGCAACATTTCAGCATCCAAATGCAATCAAAGCATATCATGGATATCACGGCTATATCGAACGAGCAGTCAAGAAGATCAATAAAAATTTCAATGGAAAAGGTTTGCTCATTGATCTTCATCAACATGCACAAGGGAGGTATGTTAAAAAACGAATGGATCATCATTTAAAAAAGCATGTACCTCTGCTCTATTAGATACACAATGGTTGGAATGCGTCTATCAGGAGTTCAGTTGAACACGAATAATTTATCTTGTACTTCAATAGAACGTCTGATAGAACTTTCGTGTCCCGACAATCGAAGTGAATGTATTTTCGGCTCGAAGGCATTGGGTACTTTCCTTGAATCAAACGGCTTGGGGACCGCCTATCCTTCATTGAACAATCCAAAACCTGAGAATAAAACATTCTATCGAGGTGGTTATATCACCAATCGTTATTCGTCGAAGATCAATGTTATCCAGACTGAACTCTCCTTTGTCGTACGCAATGAATTCGAACCGAAAATGTACGCGCGAAAATATGTTCAAGCTTTATTAAACTTTATGAAAGTGAATCATTTGTTACAAAAGAATGATATTGTCTAATACGCAGATCGATTGTCTCGATTATATTTAATAGCACTAGTTAAAATCGTTTTCCATATTGCCACTTCATTTTCATTACGTGGCGCGTAAATCAAAATGTACGTATCTGGAATAGTGATTCTATTGAATAAATTCATGCCTGCCAATGGAAATCGTTCAGCCCATTGTTTATCAATTAGTAATTTTGCATCCAACGGATGAACTAGCATATGAAATGATCCATCATTCGAATGTAAATGCGCGATTTCGCCTCGACCAAACGACTTTGGATCAGCGTTCGGTAGAAATAATCCATCAGCACCTGTGTATTCAATGATAGATTTGCCACGTAATAGTAGTTGATCGTCAGTTGTTACGCCACCGTATCGCGGAATTGAAATTGATTCGATATATTGATGCATTAGGTGCATAATATCGTCGGGTGCCTGTTGAGATAATTGGCGATGAGGAACAGCGCGTAGCATTTTTGGTCTCGATTGATTTCGCATGGGAATATCCTTCTCATTCAAATATCCCGATCGGTCATTTGATTTAAAATGAGCTGTAGAAAGACAGCAACTCTCTCTTGACCAACCTTGAAAATTGACGACACATGTGAGAAACCAAAGGAAGTAACTGGGTTGTTCTCGTAAACCGTGTGCATATCTGTTATAATGTATCTTGATGGAGATCAATACAACAATTAATAATGAAAGAATAACGTAAAAGATCATGTTTGTTTCAACAAATATTTTATACTCTATTTACCTGTTTATATATACTATCGATGATCGTGTGTTTTTAGTTCGTTCGATGTTGTCGATATGTCAAGCAGTACGTTACTGATACGGACGCAACGTACATTTCTAGATTGAAAATGAGTAGATCCAATGAAAGTTTGCCTGCCAGATGTCATTCATATACAGATACTATTGTTGAAAAATGAAACTATTACCAAAAATAGAGCAGTGAGAACTTTCTCTACATGTAACGGAGCAAAGTCATACAAATTCAATTAACAATGATAAAGTACTATTATTCACTATGTAGAGCCAATTTCTACACACGTGAAGTATAAGTACATGCAGCGCTGCTGAGATTTCTATTTCTTAAATCTTCATGTCACGAATTGAATAGTCGCATTCAGAAGATAAAAAACAACTACCACTCTAGCTTTAGGTACACGAAAAAGGTGCATGTCATGGAAGACTGTCCTGCACTTTGCGTCCATTCGTCATCCAAAGCAATCTTATCTAAACTTAAACTAAAATTATTGAACTTATGATTATATAGAACATTTCTTCGAGGCAGAACAAATAAAAGAGGAAGTTGTTAATGAAGATTTTGTACTTTTTACAAGAAACATGTCACACGTGTTTTCTTCCCGATCGGTGCATGAGTAAAACAACCCGATGAAGTATTTATTAACAGTAATACGTCGAAGATTTTATTTTAAATCAACAAAACTATAAACAATCGTAGCAATCATGTTGTTCTTTTCCTTCTGTTTAGCATCCATTATACTTCTATTTTAAAATTTTCTGATTAAATAGAAAAAGAAGAAAATGTCTGACTCGAATGACATTCACATACTGTTCGATTAACCGAAGAGTAAGAAAACAAGAAAGCAATTGGCGTTCGTTCGTTTTGTTTTTATCTGTGAAGAAGAAAAGTCATAGCAACGAGAAGAATTGCTGATGTGTGCATGTTGTTGCCATTATTATTGACAAGTCATTCTCATGCATGCATGAAATTTCTCCGTTTTGTTTTCTTCTCAATTCAATATCTCGTTTGCCTGACTAAACAAATGCAAAAGTAAAATCTGCCACACATTACAATCATTATTCGCACAACATGTATGCAAACCAACCACCGCCCATTCTCAAAACACGACATCACGGTTATGATTATCCAATGAGTTCTAGAAACAACTTCGATCTATCGTTACCTCAAACCCGTTTTGCCCTCTACACCGATCGATCGACTACTGGCCAACAATCATTAGTCGGTTCAGCAACAAATAAGTAAATATATGCTCATTTAGTTGTCAATCAATAGAAAGAAAAAAAAGGAAATAATTTTTTATTCGTCTCGTGTTTAGTTATGTTCCGCCAAATACTGGACGGTTCTCTATCGTCAGCAATCATAGACGAACGAATAGTACAGGATCAACTAGTACCGGTGCTATTGAAAAAACAAATATGATGTCCAGTGAAAATCCATTTGTTGATCCAGCTCGTCCTTACGAACAACAATTCAGTGCAACACGTACAATAACTTCTATAACTTCTCCACGAAAAACAGATGGTGCTGTAAATAAATCATTGAATCTCTCTGATGAAAATCCATTCTTCGCTGTCTATGGAAACTACCGTTATCCTACGCAAGTCGATCCATCGAAACGAATCACAACACAGAATTCATCAGCACGTTCTACAGACAGTAAATCATTGTATATGTCGGATGAAAATCCTTTTGCAGTTACGTATGAGCGTTATAAACCGTCACCACCAACGATAACGACGACATCTCAATCGACTTTTCAAAAACGTCTCAGTGAACTCTCACCTATAAACGACTCATCCTTTTCATCGAATGGTTTAGCGCACTCGAATTCATTTAGTAGTTATAGTTATCGACCATCATTAATACGTCAGTATTCAGCTGGTGAAATTGGAAATGAATTAAATCTCAGTACAGTCACCACATCGATTGCTGATTGGACGCGAAATAATCCTGCGCCACTGTCCTATCGACCTATTCATGTTCAAAGACCACCAGCGGATTACTATAATCACAATGAGCTTTCCTATGTTCCACCACCAAGTTCTCCTCGTCAACAACAGCAACCGCTACTACCTCCACCTTCACAGCAACAATCACTACCATCACCTCGACCAGCACCAACGATAACTTCACAATCTTCGCCACGGAAAGCAAACGGATCACTTCCATTGGACAAAACGTCGCTAAACATGAGTCCTGATAATCCATTTGCTGCAACGTATGGACGATATCATTATCCATCGCCCGACGAAATCCGAGCACAACGTCGAGAAAACGAACGCACAGTTCGTTTCGCCGATGAAGTTATAGTCAATGAAAGTCGACCATCGAATTCTAACAGCGATCACTCGGACACCGAAAAGAAAGAAACGACTTCCAACAAAGGAAAATCGAAATTTGCTCGTTTTGATATTACACTTTAAATCTGAAGATAATTGTTCATGAATGTTTCTTTTCTCTGCTGTTAAAAATGTCTTGAAATTCATTATTTTTAGTTCATCAATTGTGAATAATCTTCCATGTTTTTCTACCTCTCGTTTCACAAGTGTACTAGTGCATTCAACAGCCAATCGTATGTTGATAATACGGTAAAAACATACTCATGTTTACACATTTTAACAATAAACTACAAGGTCGAAAACTTATTTTTCAAACCTTCGCCAATATACTCAAGCAAGGTTTGCTTTCTATTCAAATAGCTAACGATGATTCAGTGCATTATCCTTGATTAGCTCAACTCATCAATGCACGATAAGATGTTGAAACTTTTACTAGACACAATTTATTTATAGGAAAAAAAACTGAGAATCAATTCTTTTGCTTAATTTTTGTCAAAACTCGTTGAATATTTTCTTCGATTTTGATTACATTTGGATGTGTGGATGAATAGATATTTCGATAGATTTTCGCGGCATCAGTATAGAAGCCCAATGCCTCGTTATATTTGCCTTGATCATCATAAATCGCCCCGATATTATTACAAGTCGATGCGTATTTTGGATGGTGCGGTGGAAGTGTTTTCTTGTACAATTGTAAAGCTTCTTGATAGTAATAAATCGCATCGGTATAAAGTTTTAAAAGATAATACGCATTGCCGATGTTATTGTACGACATGCCGAGAGATGTTTCATCGTGTGGAAAGTTTCTCCGGCGGATTTCGTATGCTTTCCGATAATAACTCAGTGCTTCTTTGTAAGCATGTTGTTCTTGACAAGCAATACCAATATTATTGAAACATATCGCTTGTTTCACTAAACCTTTGCCCAATGGATATTCACCTAAAACATCTAATGCTTTTTCGTAATTCTCAATAGCTTTTTTAAAATATCCTTTCTTCCGTTGAATTTCTCCGATGTTGTTATAATTCGATGCGATGTCAAGCGAACGTTTGCTTGGTTCAGATAGATTAATTCGCAGCGATTTGTCGTGGAAATGCAATGCCATGTCATAATCACATTTTTCATCAGCTACATTGCCAAGTGCTTCGTAACAACGTGCCAGATCGGCGTGTTTGTTGGATTCGAAATCTTCTAACAGGCGTCGATAGTAGATTTCCGCCTCTTCGATCTTACCCATCGTCATTAGGACATGTCCGAATGAGAGTAATTGATTTTCGTCTTCAATCATATCCAACTGTCGACTACTATCCGAACAAAGTTTCAATTTGACTATCCAAATGCTTCGCTGATAAGTGAAAATGTCGATGATTTGGAAAATTGAGCCTAACATGAAGAGAATTTCTTCATCACGATTCAATGTTTGATGCTTAATATTTGCAAACGGCTTATCCGTGCTTAGATTAGGCTCGGCATCGATTTCGAATAGGATCGGTACGAAGTTCTCAGTGTTCTCTATGCAAGCTATAGCACGATTTCGGTCTAAGGTGGCGGAAAAAAATGAATTGATGGAGACAAAGTGTCCAGTGGAATGTTTCAGTTTTTTCAACTCTTCGTTCGACATCAACTGACTACGATAAGCGCGAATGGGCACGGATAAACGAAGCTTTTCTAATTGCTGTCGGATATCCACGATAAAAAATTGAAAAAGAAACAAAACATCGATATTCTGCGTTCGAAGTGCTTTGTTCAATAGCCGAGACAGAAACGTATCTCTCGTATACCATGATATTGCTGTATCAGATGAATATTTCTGTTCGAATTCATTGATGATCATCAATTCTGCACGGTTCTTTCGATAAATTTTCTTGCTAATCGAAATCAATTCATTCTTATCAGTGGTCTCAGTTCGCATTTGTAGAAGACAATTGATTAGTAATTGGCTATGTACGAGATGTCCTTGAAGATTAGTCGTTAATTTCGCATGGACAATTTTTGTGTCGAAGATACTGATAGGCAAGGGCTCATAGATTCGACTTTGTTGGCGTTTTTCTTGATCGATTTGGATTCGAACAATCAATTCTTTCGTGTCGGTAACGACAGCTTTGACCTAGAAGAGAAACACTTGATGCACATGTTCTGAGGAGATTTTCTTGTGGATCAATCACTTTCGGATATCGACTAGACCATTGTTCATTGGCAGTTTGATCTTGACAGTAGACATAGATGGAAAGAACTTGCTCGAGATTGTGAATACGAGGAACAATCGTTCGTCCTAATGAACCGCTGACGATCAAAACAATTCGATCACCGTTACCTGTTGATAGGATATGTTTCATACACCGTTCGGAATCTTCGAATGTTTTCAATTGATGAATCGTAGCTCGTAATTCATCTTGAGTATGCTGATTATCATCTGTTTTATTCACAAATGCATCGAGCCAAATAAGAGAGAATGTTTCTAAATTATCATCGGAGGACGTGATGATCTTATTAAGAATTTGTCCCATACTACGAATGTTTTCAGAAACCGTCGATTAGCTGTTCTTATCGTTAGTCGAAGTATCATAATGTACACGTGTGTGTACGATAGACAAAATAACAAAAGTATCAAAGGTATTATCGTTGATACAGATGAGTGACATCATGTCAAAGAACGAATTTAATCAATCAAATGAGAAAAGAATTGACGCTTTTGTTTGCCTTTCGCACATCAAGAACAATACAAAACTGAGCGCCTATAGATAGAGAATACCCGATCGCGCAACAATGATCTCATACCGGGAAGAGAGAATGAGGAAAAACTGAAGGAAAAAAACATCGAACGTTAAAACCAACGTTTACGTTTGAAACACGAAAGCATAAGTATAGCCAGTGAAGCCATAACACCCAAAACAATATAATAACCATATTTGTACGTTAATTCTGGCATATGTTGGAAATTCTACAAAAACAAAATTCGATAAGTTTTTTTCAAACCGAAAACAAAAGAAAGCTTTGTTTACCATGCCATAAACTCCACTAATAAAAGTCAAGGGAATAAAGATCGTGGATATGATTGTCAATGTTTTGACTACTTCATTCATGGCATTGGAATTCAGCATCATATAAAAATCAATAAATGATGCTAGCATTTCACGATACGTATCAATCGAGTCATTGACTTGCACTACGTGATCAAACAGGTCTTTTAAATAAATATTTGTACTTTCCTGCATGATCTGCGTTTCTTCTTCTTTTTGTAATTTAATGATAATTTCTTTCAATGGAGATATTATCGCACGAAGGTATAGCATATCACGTTTCATATCATAAATCGATTCTAATGTATCACGTTTGAGTGTTTTCATTAGTTGATTATCAATCGATTCAACTTTCGTACCCATGGTATCCAACACGTCCATATAATGATCAACAATCACATCAACTAATGAATAGAAGAGGTAATCAATTTTCGATTTTCTTATACGACCTTTGCCTTGTCGAATACGATCTTTAAGAATAAATCACAGATCTGGAGGAGAAGACGAAGAAAAAAAAACTTGTCTATACATACTTTTTATCGAATCGAATAGATCTTTCGGTGTTTCTTGAAATGTTATCAAAATATTATCTTTGATATAAAAACTAATTTGTTCAATAACTGTATGTCCTGTTCGACCAATATCACGGAAAATTAATTTACATACAAGAAATAACGCATCATCGAAAACATCTAATTTCGTACGTTGTTCGGTCGTTGTTATATCTGTTTGAACAAGAGCATGAATTTCATAGCGTGCACCTATTTGAGCAATGATATCATGTTGATGAACACCATCGACATCAATCCCTGACACAGAGCAAGTCCTTTCATACGTTCGAGAGAAGAATTTCAAATACATACATAACATAGGAACCATTGGTGTTAGAGGCACACTAGGAATGTCGTCGACTTTCTTATATTTTCCTTCCGTAAACGAATTTTCATCATATGTGAAGACATTCAATTGAACAGTCGCTCTGAAGAGAAGACAAGATAGATTGGTACAAACGGATTGAATGCTTAGACTTACGTTGGGTCAGAAAAGTGCACTAATGTGCCCGATGAACAGGCGCCGAATGCGAATTGTGTGAGATGTCGATTCGCTGATATTCGGCCATTACTTGTAGTATGGTTAGTTGGTCCAATACCAGGTTTCGTACGTCGAAATGGTATAAAACTTGTTTTACGTCCCGTAAAATTTTTCACCATGATTAATAACAAACTAAAAACAAAGCTCATCTCAATCGACAGTCTTCGAAGGCGAGAGAGAGCCTTTGTCTAATCAATATAATCTTACCATTGACTTTTGCAAGAGTGAGTTTTTCGACAAAAAGTGCTTAGTGGACAATTTCATGAGTAGTAGCAGCAAAACGAATCGTCATGTGTCTCATTAGTTTATCCTTTCGATCCTACTAAACACGAAATCGTGCCCGGTAAACGAGATGACTTTCATTCTTTGTTCGTTCTTTTTCTTTTGACTTTCACCTTTAAAATAAATGACTAGATACATACAAAAAAAATCTCTAATCGAAAATGTAAAAGAAGAAATCTCTTCATTTACATATTTTTCCCTCAATCAACCGTGACCAATGTAAAACAAAAACCAGATGATTTCAAAGAAGAATACAACACTATTTGACATATTCATCTCGATGCACATATGCACACATACGTATATCTACCTTGTATGTCCTTATCGGATAGATCAATCAGAACAAAGAAGTTAATTAAATGAAGACAGATAATATTTAATGTTAGTTGCATTCAAACGTGCGTATCACCGTTCTTTGACCTATGAGTCAATCGTTAAATGAATTTTGTTAAAGTATAATTCCAGCACGATTGGAAGCTTGATTGAGAAGAGAACACGTGCTTCATCGCATTCGAACGTCTTTGAATGACGTCTTTCGAAAGACGATTGCTATTGGTCAATCGGCTCGTTTCTAAGCAACAAGCCTAATCAATTTAAGGAGGAACGCTTTTGCTCGTCTCTTGTTTGCTCCATGTCTGCTAGTAAAGATCTTCGATTGAATAAACTTCATCGAACACGAGAAAATAGTATGATAGTCATTGCGAAAAGAAGCAAAGTTCATTGTGTTTTGAAATTATCTAGGTCTGACTGATGTCGTTCGTGTTACGGATGAAAATATTCCGAAATATCGGCAAGTTAATTACAACGCTATGAGACAGTTGATTCACGAGCGAAAACAAAGTGGACTAGAAGCATTAGAACGAGGTAACCAATGAAAAGATTCATCTATTTCTATCGATTCATTCTATTTAGTTTCCAAATTACAAAACGACAGTCACTTCATTCGCGAGCAAGCAGAATTGAAACTCTGCCGTGAACATTGGTTGAGTGAACAATATCGTTTAAATCAACAATATCGAAAGCACGATCAGGAACATAGGGCATGGTTGACAGAAGCATTTCACGATCCTGATTTATTAACGCTCTTTCATGAAATCACCAAATATCGTATCTGGTTAGACGAAAATACGATCGAATTTCGCAAGACAACAATCTTACCGATTGTCCAGTTGAAGTATGTTGTATAATTTCGAAAGATTTTTATGTAGAGAATATCATCAGAATTTATATTTGATTTAGAGAAGAATTACAAACAAACCAAGTGAATCAGGATAATATTTCACATGTACTCGATGCACTTCGAGTTGTGGGAAAAGAGCAGCAAGAGTTAATTGCTATACTCGGTCAAGAACAGAAACAACTCGAAGAGGAATTGAAAGAATGTAAAAAAAACAACTAAATTCACGTTCGGAATAGCAATTCATTGTATTATATCTGTTTAGTTCAACAAATGATTGATGAAGATGAAGAAATCAATATGATTGAGGAAGGAATACCAGATTCAGTTATAGAATTGCCATGTCCAGATGATGAGTTACGTGTGACAATACTTCAAGAATTTCTCATTATCGATCATCGATACCGAGAGAATCTCGTCGATTTAGATGCAAATTACCTACCGATTGTTAGGTAAACGATTTTCCGTCAAAATATTTCTTTCCAGAGTGAAATTTTCTTGTAATTAGTCAAGAGAATGGCGGATGGGATACAGATGAACATGAAATGTTGATTCATCTGTATGAAACATATCCAACAGATTTGAAAAAACGACGAACGCATATCTACAATCATTTTCATCGCTATTTTCCTAATCGGTCAAGACAGGATATGGTACATATACGATTGAAACTCTTCATTGTATAAACCTAGACATTTCCTTAGTTGAACCACGAAGAATGGTATAATGCTCGAATATATTACCAAAAACACAAACGAATGATTCTTTATGAATGGTATTTAAACATGATGAATTCGTTCTCGGAGATAATTTTCGATCTACCTAGGAAACAAGCTCGTAGTGCATTGAAATTAAGAGCACAATCAGTGTTTGAACAAGCTTTCGAACTGCAAGAACGTTTAGCACAACAGCACGAAGAGAAAATGAAACAACGCGCACTATGTGAACAATTAGCCAATCAAGTAGAGAATGACTTTTGTTGGTATTGCTATTATTTTATGTGAATAGGTGCAAAAATGGAGAGAAAAACAATTGGAAGTATTCGAAATGAAGAGAAAATTAGAAGAATCAAGACGCGAAGTTGAACGTGAAAGAATTCAACAAGAAAACGAACGATTACAAAAGCATCGACAACAAACGAAAGAAAAAGTTAGTTGGTTTCTTCGATCTTTTTACCTTAACGTTTTGAAGAACTAATTTAGCTTGCAGAATACCATACAGAAAAAGAAGAAGCTCGATTAGTTGAATATGAAAGGGAGAAGAAACGTTTAGAAGAGATGCAAGTCATACTTGCTGAACAACAGCGCAAAGATTGGGAACGTATTAAATACCGTAAAGAAGAGTACGAACGAAAACAGCAAGAGTTGCGTGATCGAAATCAAAATGAAGAATACGAAGAGGTTCAGCGTGAAGAGCGTCTTCAAGCTCTTGCTGACCGTGTTCGACCTCACGTTGAAATCGATCACGCACGCGTGTTAAAACCCACGAAAGTAAGTAACATCCAAAGATCATCATTTCTCTCTTATAAAAAAAACATACATTTAGGCATTCAATGCACATCGTGGTTTACTAACTAGCGTCAATGATGATGTGAACATTCAACAAGAACTATTTCCTATAAATACATTCAATGATCGGAAATTATATGGAGATGTCCGTATTCGTCTTGAACAACGTTTACGCGACGCGGGATTGATTCAGACGGATTATGCTCGACAAGCTCTAGCCGCCTTGCAACAAGCACCTAAACGTATTGATACACGTGAGAATCAAATGTGGTCGGGTTTCGCATTCAGAGCAAATGAAATTGACTCACGAAATGTTTCAAAGCCAGTCAAACGCGATTTTATTAGTCATCCGGTCTTCTATGGCATGGATAGTTAATTACTGACGAATCAGATCGCTTTTATTTCTACAAAAATTATATTTTTTACAAGATATGTAATTAGTCAAAAGATTTCATTGAATAAAAAAAATGTTAGTACAAAACTCAACGAGTATGAAAAAAAAAGAAGATTTAGAGAAGACTATTTTCGTCAGTTTTTTTTTCCAGAAGAAAGACTGATGCCGAGGATGGTCTGATCGTAAATGGTAATAAAGTATGTGTTGGAATTAATGAACCATTGTCAGTGATGAATTGAGAGCTGTTCGTTGTCGACGCACTGAGCACTGGTTCGAAAAATTTGTAGAATTCTTTGTATGTGACACTGTTTTCTCCTTGATCGTCTATTGTATCAATCGATGTTTCTTCATTCATATAAGTTTTGAGTACGTCAGGCCGACATGGACATTCGAAATGTACACAATGAAAAACTTCGTTGGCAGTGTTATGTGTTCCACATATACGAATGTAGACGACAATACGAGGAGAAAATGTGAGAATTTCCCATGAACTAGATGATATCAATGATAATCGAAGACATAATTTGTGAGAAGAAAAGATTTTGTACCTGCATTCAATTGTTTGTTTATCCACAGCTTTTGTCCAGGTAACATTGTCATACGAGGTTTCGATGTAATACGAATACGAACGATTATCGCAATCCCAAAGCAACAATCTACAATGAGTTTACATAAAAATTCTTCACTATCGCTTATACGTCGATGCTTGCCTCATCGAACTGATCACATGTGGTTGACATAATTGAATTACAATACCACCTGAGCCAAGTTGATGACATGTATAACCTAATTATCGAAATCGAACGTTAAATATCAGCAGTAAATTTATTCATACCCGAATCCCAATCGTAGGACAGATAATCCCCATTGATCAATGCATTTCGTACACGACTTACTCCTTCGGGTACGATCGCACTCGCTTCTAATGTTGCGACATTATCAACTGGTGCTAAATGAAGAAAATGCAAATAAGAGAAATTGATCATCGTTTGTTTTTATTACCATATACATCTCCAACTAATGCAAATGGTTTTTGAACATAATAGACTTCTAATGAAACAAGATGAAAGACTTTATTTACAGTATTATGTGTTCCGACCACTCGAATGGACCTATAGCAGAAGAAAAATAAGAATGAGTTCTTTTCTTTGGCGCTCTTCAACGTACGTTACAACTATCGGTGCAAAATATAACTTTTGCCATGAACGGCACAGATATGCACGGTAGTCAATGATTCTCGTCCAATTCACATCGTCAACCGATACTTCGATATAATACGAATATGCACTTGAAGAACAATACAAATGAAAATCAACAAATTGAATAAAAGTTTTCTTTTACCGAGTATCTTTATCCCACAGTAATAATTTGATATGGTTGATAATCGATGGTCCATCTAATTTCACACAGATACAACGCATATCATCAATTGGATGTCTAGTAAAACCACGATCCTATGTAGACAAGCATTGAACGTACTCATTCTAAACCAAATTTCTATTTACCAAATCGTAATTTGTGACATCTCCATCGAGTAATGCATGTTTCATTTCTCCTTGAAAAACAAATTGTTATCTTTATCGATATCTTAACAGGAAAAAAACGATTCATTTACCATCTGTTACTTGTGCATGGTGTGTTTTTGTAGCAATATTCTCGTCTAATCCTAAATGAACAACGAAAATTGATTTGCTACTGTTCTAAACAACTCAATCATTTTACTTAATCTTCCTCGATAGTTTTTGCTGCGCTTTATGTATAAATCTTTATTATTTTCATTCTGATTGGTCACTTCATCGCTCGTATTCGTATTATTAACAGATGTTTTCGTCTCATCGTTAATCGAATCGATCGCGTCCATTAAATGATTTAAATCAAATAAATTCGAATATCGAACAATTTTTAGAAGTTCGTTCATGGTCATTAAGGTTAGACGCACCTTGGAAACGATATTTTCCAACGGTTTCCAGTTAGCATCTTCATCGCGGTAATGAAACTCATGCCACTTCTTGACTGCATAGAAGATTTCGATTTCAGGACAATAGAATGAGTCACGAGCGATAATTGATGAGAATGCATCCTGAAACATGACAAAGCATCATCGCTTCTTATCAGTCGAGTACTTAAATGACAGAAAGTAAAATGTATCAGCATAGTTTTTTACGATTATCCTTTTCAACATGACTTCGCAGCGTTTATTCATTGCTATTCTCTTTACCACATGTATTTTGATCGTCAATGCTCAATATCCCGTACCGACACCACCAGGTGGTCGAATGTCTGTTCACGGTTGGCTCATCTTACCATGGGATACAAATATGACTGATGGGCCTGTCCAAGCATGGTTTTCTCATCACGTTCCTGAATTTTGGACTGATTCTCCTCATAATTTTCAAATCATTCTCAATGGATTATTGACACCATTGGCGTGCTTCAATACAGAGCCTACTCCTCAACCTATACCAATTCCATATCCTCCACGAGATAATCTTGTCGAATACGAATATACAATTACACCACCACCAGAATTTTCTCTCAATGATCTTCTATTAGGAACGTTAACTGAACTAAAAGGTGTCGTTTACAATGGATCATTTGATACTTCCTATGAACGTATTCCATTAGCATTAGCTACGCTAACTGTTCGTGAGTTAACAACTGCAGTTTACTTAAACGAATCGAAACTCATTCCAAACTATCCTGAACTACGTTATCTGTCATATCCACGTGACATGTCACCATCAGCAGATACCAAACCTTTTCAACATGTCTACTTAGCGCATGAGATACATTCAGTGCCGGACTTTGATCATATTGTTCATGCGAGTATCGACACGACACGATGTCATTGCGAAACCGGACTCCCGTCTCTATGTAATACTAAACAAATACTCAAAGACATTCGCACACCTGGCGTTGAATGGGCATTTCCATCATTGATAAACAATCTACAAAATCGTTTACAACCTCCGATGGTTATCCGGGGTCGAATAATGAGTGGACCTGTACTTTGTCCCATAACTATACTAGAGTCCATACATTGTATGGTCGGACCAGATTTTGATAAAAAATGTTGAAAAGAAACGTTTGAAATAAACTCACCGATGATAGAGTTAGAAATTCGTTTGTTTTGATGATTTCATTGGCATGATTATCGATGAATTGAGCTGCGTGTTGTCTGAGATTCTTCAAATTGTATAAACACGCCGTATCGTAGACGGTGCAAACATTTTTTAATGATAGGATTGATTTCAAATATGTGGATAAACTTGTTTCGAGTTGTTGAAACCCATACTGGTGTACAAGTCCAAGTAAATCAAGTAAAATATCTTCCTTGTAGGATAATAAACAAAAAATACAGGTTTTTTAAAATTACAAATGTATTCTATCTACTTTTTCTTTGAGTAAATTAATACGTCCAGTGTAGATATACAGTAGGAGAATTCGGAATGCCGCTGATTTACATTCTTTAATTTCAATGGAACTATGACTATGTTGAGATTCACGAAGGCCTCCGTAGAGTAAAGCACGAAAGTATTCCGACCGTGCTGCTAGGATGATTCGATGTGCATAGAATTGTTCATATTCAACAATCAAGACAATATCACTGTAATCTGATTTATTAAAGAGATTTCCTAGGAGATAAGCGAAGAAGATTAGATTTTTCCTCGATGAACAAGTCGATCAATTGAAAAAGCATGTTACGCAGATACAATTTCGATTTACCGACTGGTTATAGCCTTGTAAACTGTCAAGGACACATTGGTTTGATACATCCTTGATTAACGAGTAATTTCTGTCTCGTTTATTACTTTTTCGTTCCGTCCTATTGTTTAAAACATTGACTAACTAGAAAAAAACGTTTTTCCTTCGCTGCTTTCGCAGTGATATTTATGATTTACAGTCTAGCGTGACATTAGTTTATTTATTTTCCAACAATGAGAAATATCACGTACCGAAGTCTCCTGAAAGCGCCGATGTATGATTAATTTCTCCTAAATTATCGTGTACTTCCACAGAATTTGTTCTACTATGTGTATTTGGATTATTCACAATTTGACTGGAATTATTAAGTAAAGTTGTATTCGGCAGTGCATGTTGTTGCCAAGTAGACATAACTATCTATAATAAATATTGATATTAGTGTATACATGTAATCAAAGAACAAAAGCGTTCTTAGTTTTTGTTCATCGCATTTGATTCATGAGTGAACTAACCTCCCGTCGCCGTCTCAAAGATACTCTTCGTCGAATCATTATCCAATTGAATAGATAAATAAGTGACAGAAAGAAAGAGACGGTAAAAGACGTTATTCATACGAACCTTTCGATTAGATTATGTAAATTCACACGTGATTTTTATATGAAAACACGAAATGTCGATATCACCTCTTTTTCTTTGTTTTTCAGTAATTCAATCTGAATAGTCCAACAAGATATTTGCATTCAGATGAATGACAACTGTCAATTGATTAGTGCCATGTCATCTATTTTCATACTAATCAGTCATTCATTGCATTTTTTTCCTATTTCTACTCGAAGGTAAGATAAAAATAGTGTCTAACCAAACAAATCGAATACGTTCAGATGTCACTAGAACCTAGTTTAGTTCGTTTGGGTCACATGAGAGGCGTTCAAGTTCTTCGAACAAAAAGAAATCTTGATTTACTCAAGAAGAAAAGACAGTGTCTGGTTTCTTTTTCCGTCAAGAATAGCACAAGTTGAGAAATAGATCAAATAACAAACCGAAGATACAATTTCGTTCATCAATAATCAAATAGAAGAGCTCTTCACATCCTGGAAAGAAAAGTCCGATTGCTACGGCAAGGCGCGCCGTTTTTTTTAAAGGTTTTGTTGACCCATTCACGCGTTCCAATTACATAGATCTGTAGGACCGACGCCAGCATGAGTACTTCTCTCGATCGAACAATATTAACTTTCTTCTTCTTCTTCTTCTCCTCCGTCTTCTTCTCGACAGCTTCTACTATCGTGAAGACTAGAGATAGATGATCAAAATACAAAAACAAATTCATTGTATCATGAAGGCACAAGCACGGTCGAGACATATTCGACTGTCATTGAATAGAAAACTAGCTCGATCCATCAAATGTACTTAACTTGAATGAAGAAACCTCATCATTTAAATGAATATTTGTCATGAGAGAGAAATATACTTAATTAACCAAAAATAAGCCAAGAGAGTGGGAGAAGGAAGAAAAGTTCGTACTTCGTTTCACAATCAATCATGATAGAGTTGTAGATTTAATGGCTATTTTCGAAATTAATTTTCAATCAATTTCCTGAATACCGGAAAAATATAGAAATCAAATATCGTCATTTATGCTCTAGATCGAATCCGGAAATGAACCAATGACTAATAATTAAATTTACTCGTTGTGAGATTCAATTGTGATCGAATTTCCTACAAACGCATACCTGACTTTCAAAATATTTCTTCGTTTCCGACTGACGTCAATTTTATTATGTATTTCCCCAGGCCAAGGACATAAATTAACACATTTATTGGATCTTCATTGAGCTAGAAAAATGATCAGAGACATGACATATCCACTGACGACGAAACAGTATCGTTATTCTTGTTATTGTTATTATTGAAAGATGCGATACTCTTCAGAGATTTTTCTAATCAAATGAACTCTTCAATGTTCAAAAGAAGTTTCCGTCAGAAATCTGACAAAAAGTAATGTTGTTGTTATTCTCTCGCTCATCCGACTTTGTTTCTCGAACGAAAAATGTCGAGTTAACTGATGATGTCTTGAGGAAAGAAAAGGAAAACTCGCTAGTTAGGGCACTTGTTTTTTTTCTTCTTCGCTTCTCAAGATACTCCAAGAAGCAAGTTGAGTGTACTCAATAGAGTAAGTCTTTTTTTTCGGTTACTTTTTTTTCTGCCAATTAATGAACATGACTACTTCAATATTTATACCGATCTAAACAATCTTAGATATAATAGACCTATGATTTGATTTGAGACAAAATGAAATATTCAACACTATAATCAACTATTGTGTGCCCGAAGACAAATACATCGTAGAATCTAATATAACCAAACGTTATGATCGCCTGCTGCTTTATCCAGACTTGACTGACTTCCGACTTAAATATTTCTTTCGTATTGACATATGTCTTCGAGTCTGTCGATCGCTGGCACATATAATTCTTCGTTCTCTCTAATAAATATAAATATATATAAAAAAATATATATATATATGGGATGGTCTAGATTAGAGACGTTCATGATTAAATAAACAAATCATCGAATGAAACCTTACGCACTATTTTCCATCTTCTTCGCTGGTAGTAGTTGATGTTTTTCTTTTTCTTTTCTTCGTGTTTCCTAGAAAGTCTATTGTTATGGAGTTATTATTTCTATATACGTGTACGAAGAAGTAGAAAGGTTAACATTTCATGATTCGAGACATATAATTTTGCAGTTGCGAATATGATGATAGTTTACTCTAAGTTGTTTTGCTGTTTCATTCGCGTTTCTTTTTGGTGAGTATGTCTCTGGAGGAATTCGGAATCTACACAAAAAGCTGTTGGCCAAATGCGACATGAAGAAGAGAAATACTAGATGAATATGTGTAACTTAAGAAAAGAAAGAAAAGAAATATGAATATAAGGAAATGATAATTAAAATGACAAAAGGAAACGACAGTCTTCTACTAGAGCAAATCTAGTATAGAAAGTTAGCCAAGCAAGTGTGCAGTGAAAGAAAAGTATGTTTTGTCTTCCTTTCCCCTCCTATTCTCTGGTCATGACTTCTTCTGTTATGTCACGCATCACAATAAATCGGCCTGATCATGAGAAGATTAGTCATGTTTGAAAGAGAACTTCATCGACACGTTGATGAGACTTTGAATTTACGTTCTTCACGCTGCGTCTTCCGATGTCTGATCAATTTATAAGTCAAGTTTTTTTTTTCAAAATGTGGAAGTACTTCCTATCTTATTAATGTACCGCATTCCTGCTCACTATGTTCCAAGACGAAAAGGATTAATTATCAACCCAGATAAGTAAGTACTTTGGTTTATTTTCTAGTAGCTACATCTCTTTTTCTCCTCCGGTATGCTTTGAAAGTACCTCGACTTTGTAAGAAAATCTAATTTTGGAAATCTATTCAATCAATTTTATTAAAAATTGCATCATTGGAATTCCGCTTTTGTTCTAATGAGAAAACACAAGCTATGTTCGGCAATTCTTTTCTTCCTTTCTCTCTGTCTCTTTTTCTCTCTCTCTCTCTATCCCTCTCTGTCTCTCTTTTCTCTCGACACGTCTCTCTATTGTTTCCGATTTCAGAGCATGAATGAGTAGTAAACCAGTTTTATTCTTATCATTTCTATTAACCCTCAACCAGTTTTTTCCTTCTATAGATTTACTAATCGTCTATTTGTTTTTTTTTGCCTTCTCATCTCTTCTATTTTGTTTTGGATTTCAATCAAGTATGCATAATAAACGATTCCCTCAAGAATAAATTTCCTCTTTCATTCGTTAGACAATAGTCGATCGTCGATGATTTTCTTTTTTTCTTCTTATTCTTTGCTTTTCTTGTAGATAAAAGAATTTTGTTTTCAATTATGAATGACATGTTTAATATACGTTCGTTTGTCGAAAATCAAGTGGAAAGATTATCGTCACCGAAGAATCTTCTCGTTGATAAATTTCGTCAAACAGTTGACAATATTAAATTACCATTTTCGGCGACTGCCACTAACGATTTGACGACTAATGAAGATGCATTTAATGCACGTCCATCAGAATCTTCATCAAGCTCATCTGTTTCATCTAGCGAGCACACAAATCATTCACGATTAAATTCTCTCAAATCTACACCCACACCACGCTCCAATCAATCAACGTCACCCAATTCGCAGAAAATCTCGCGTCTCTTACCCATGACATCACCTCTAACGTCGCCGAAACTTCTGTCAAACTTTAAAACAATCACCGATCGTTTGTCGCACCCTCAGAGTATTCTTCGTCGTCATGTCTCCGAATCCAATCAAACAGATGTACCAATAACTTCCCACAATGAAGATAAATCCTTCTCTCAACCAATCTATCATGATAATCCAACAATGGAGATCAATTTTCGATCAAATGATAACAATGATAGCAATACGATAACTGATGTAACGACAAAACTTCTCGGCCGATCACGATCTCTTATCCGACAATCTACTGATACGACATGTACGTATCCGATACGACGACCAATGCGTCGAATGGAATCGGTTGAAACAGTCGAAATTCCCGGCTTGAACGGTCTTAAAGCACTTCGTTACTTAAATGGTAACTTAGGCAAACTTCAACCAGATCTTTACATAAAACAAACGTCGCAAACAGATCCAACATATGGCTGTGGAAAACTAACATTTACAGTCAATTATAATCAACAAACATCATCACTAATTGTCAATGTTGTATCGATTGATAATCTTCCATATCGAGATGTCAACTCGAAGATACCGCCAGATCCATTCATCAAAGTTGTTTTGTTACCCGACCGACGCCGAAAGTTTCAGACGAAAGTTTCCAAACGAACTCAATCGCCCCAATTTAACGAAGTTTTTCAATTTCAAATCGGCTATGAAGAATTACGTCGGCGAATCTTACTTTTATCTGTCTACGATTTCGGTCGGCCAAGCAAACGAAGTCTCATCGGCACAGTCAAGATCGATGATGTCTCATCCATTCCTGATATAACCTCACAAGATATAACATTTAATCGAAGCATTGTTCCTGGAACTGAAGTAAGTTGATTTTCAATCATAACATCTTTTCTTTTGCTTGTCTATGGATAAATATAGCACATGCCGGAAATTAACCGGGAATGTAGAAAACAAAAAAGGGTGACTACTAGTAATCGAACATATTCTATCAAATTTTCGTCGATGTGAACATCCGTTCCGATCTGTCCGTTCACACGACAAATCACTCGTTGTATTCTAACAAGCTCGATTTCTATTTGTCTATTGATCATTCGTTGTTTGTTAACTAAACGAGAAGGAGAGAAAAAAAATAGAATGTCAACATTCGTTTGACAGACTATTGCTGTCTACATTATTAATTAGATCCTAATGTGAGGAGTAACAATGGAAACAAGACGAAAGAGAAAACAAGGTATTTATTCGCTTGTCATCGTCGGATGCACACATGTATGCTTAACCTGAATGAAAATTAATAACGGTAATACGATAACAACATTTGACGAGCAATCAACATCGTCTCTCTCTCATTCATTAGAGAACATAAAAAAAGAGACCGTTCGAGGCTGAGGAAATTCCATCGAGACTTAGTTGATAAAGAGAGTAACATAACATGCAATTCTAATCAAACAACATGATCGTAAGCTGAGTGAGAACAAACGACATAAACTATATATACATAGAGTGAAAAAACAAGCGCCGCTTGCTTTGTGTTTCTTAAAATTAAACAAATTTATCGAACAGAAGAAAAAAAAACTTCCGTATAATTACTAATGATAGTGTTTAAAATGCAAACTTATGCATGATATTTTTAAATAGAAGAATAATTATTATTCGAATGTCAGTCTATGCTGAGAACACAAATGAACTTTCATGTGATTATCATGAAAGTTTCAAGATCAGCTTTCCGTGGGATTGAATTTCTTTTCCGAGAAGACTTATTTACAAACTAGAAAATCAGCACTCTAAGTTAAATCGGAAACGACTGTTTAGCAAAAAAGAAATTAAATATAGATTCGTTCTTGTGATACGATGGCTCTGACGGCAGAGACAGCTATGATTAGAAGCGGTTTATTTTATGGAGAAGTGAAAATGAATGAAGGTAAGATGACTAGACGTAGCACGCTCATTTCTTGCGTAAAAAGGTTATGCGATATTCTTTGATCATCAAATATAGCCTTGTTCGAAAGTGTTTACTTTCGGCTGCTTTTAATGAATTTTTGATCAATTATTAATCAATACTCTTTCTTTTTCTCTGTACTCGACCGACTCATTTCTAATGTTTCTACTTTGTGTTCTCTAGAGCGACCCTGATCTCGGCGAATTAACTGTTTCGTTATGTTATTTACCAAACGCAAAGCGGGTCACAGTAACAATTGTCAAAGCAAGCTCATTGAAACCCATGGATATCACGGGTAAATCAGATCCATATGTGAAAGTTATTCTACTTATCCATGGCAAAAAAATTCGCAAGAAGAAAACGTCGGTTTTGTCAAACACTCTCAATCCTACATATAATGAAAGTTTAGAGTTCGATGTCGCTGTTGATTCACTGTCGGATACCGATCTGATTTTCAAAGTCATCGATTACGATCGTGTCGGTTCAAATGAGCTAATCGGCTGTGTTGGAATCGGCGCGCATTTCGAAGGAATCAATCGTGATCATTGGTTTCAAATGCTAGAACATCAGCGTGTTCCCATAACGGAAAGTTATAATTTACGTGAAACGATACCAATGATTCCATGTACAAGTCCATTGACGTCAATGACAAGTAGCAAAATCGTGACTTTGAATATTAACAGTTAAAAAGAAGCCTCGATGACCGGTGATGTATGTGTGTGTTTAGATATCTTTTACTGTACAAAGAGCTATTTATTTTTTCTTCTGATTTTTGACAGAAAAAATAAAGAAAGAAAATAATAAAATTATGAAAAATCCTCGTCACCATCGATTGGATTCGATGTTTGCGCTTGATTGGAATTGTTCGATATCGTTTGTTTACTTCGCTTGGACTGTTCGATCGAAAAGGACGGCACCTCGCTTTCATCATCGGGCATCGGTCGTTTTCGAGATTCATCTTTCTAGAAAAAAAAGCACCGAAAAATAATATCAAAGATGCAGATTTTGTTGCCTACTGGTAATTGTGACAAGCGGTGAATAAGCAATGGAACAGAATCATTGATAATTTCTATGAGAAAACAAGTTCATTCTAGGTGAAACCATTATAACGCTTGAGTCAATTAAGAGAAACTCTATTTACTATAGAGAAATGTTTTTTGTAGTCTGTTTGTCTGTATTGATTAACCTCAAACAGTCTTTCAGGACCTTCAATCATTTGCGTGAATACGATGAAAGCTTTCTAATCTTAGTGCAGCTGAACTCTCACATGAGACGTTTCAGAAATAGTCTCATCTATTTTTTGTTTATCACACTATGTGAAATTGTTCTCCATGCTTCAATACCTTTAACGTTTGTATCGAGTTTGGCGGTATATGTCGGCCGGACAGACTAGAAAGAACTTGGTTTTTGTTAAACTGAGATTGATATATAAATTTTATGAGTTTACCATCTGCCGAACGGCGCCCGGTGGAGCATGGAACCTTGAAAAACTCTCTGGATTTCGACAAGGCAAGTCTTTCAAGAATGACGACTAAATGGAAATTAAAAATGAACTTGGGAGAATTCCATGAAGATTAGATATGTATTACCATAGTGCAATCTTGTAGATAGTTTTAGGAAAAACCGAATGAATTGATTAACTAGAGTGGTCGACAATGCGATACACTTTAATTGGTATCAGATGCTACCAATCAATGATCATAAAATTGAAGATGTCACCAGAACACCGCGCATTAGTTTTAGGTCATTAAGGGCAAAAGAAAGCATCTGAATTGCACTATTAGTAAGCATTTCCTAGATGATGAATACTAACGAGCGTCATGCAAATATACGTGTCTACATATCGAAAAATGTGCAACAATGCAATTACCCATGTGGTACTTTGATTATGGTTGCTGGAGCTGGTGGAGGTAAAATTTTCGATGATATTAGTTGAAACAATTAGTTTTTAGCTTTGTTCTAGGTTATACAGGACCCGCTGTATGTTCGCTTTATTCGACAGGAAATGAATTTCATCGTATTCTATAGGCTATTTATCCTGATTTAGCAAAAGAAATGCAGGAATATCCAAATATAATTTCAGTGCAGATGGATTATCGATATCCAGGTGATCTAGAACCATGCGTGAGTTTCAATTTTCAATTAACAATAGCAAACAGAAACGATTTACTTTAATTAGGTTCAAGATGTTATCGAAACCATTGATTTACTAGTATCCAAATATCAGATTGAACGAGTAGTGCTTATAGGATGGTCATTCGGCGGTGCTGTTGTTATCTCAACAGGTGTTCAGCATAGGCTCGTCAGAGCGATCGGTGAGAGACGAAACATTTCTTTTCATATTCATTTCAAAAAGCAACTCGATTCTCGTTTGCTCATCATTAGCTACGGTTGCGTCACAAACTGCCGGTGCAAACAGTGTTAGTCAATTAGCTCAAATGGGTAAAGCATGTTTGTTCATTCACGGGAAAGGTGATCAGTGTTTGCCATTTCGATGCTCAGAACAATTGTATCGGTTAGCCGGTGAACCGAAAGAGCTTGTTCTCTACGATGGTGATAATCACGGTGTGACAAATCATCGTGGTGAAGTAAAAGACAAACTAAAACAGTTCGCGCTTCAATATTTATGTTTGCCAACAAAATAGTAATTTTCTTGTTTATAAAAAAAAGGAAATAATCTCGCTGTTAAATTATTCGAGCTTGTTATTATCCCAGGAATAAATGTAAATGACTGTCGTTGTAGCCATGTTCTTTTAATAGACTAGAAAGGAAAAAAAACAATTTATGAGAGTGAAGAGCCCTGGTTCTTGGAGAAAAACGTACTCGAAAGCTAGTTTTGAAAATGGTGCGGGTCCGCAAACGCAAACAAGCGTATTTGTAACGTTGGTTTTGGAAGGTGGTTCCGGTAACAATCGATGGAGAAGCTCACCACGTATATAGCCCGTTTCACCTGTCCAATCCGACTCCGGCCGCGAAAGAATATTATGGACAGTAAATCTGTAGACATAAAGACATTTTGTGTGTTTTGAAATGTTCATGATAGTTTTCTGTATGCTTACTTACTTATACTTTTCTGACATTGCTTGTAACTCCGCACCACACAGAATATCCTTTTGAGTTTTGTTAAAGAACAGTAGAAATATATCTCGATTCTGTTCATTATCAATTTGCTTAGTAGCGTAGTTCAAAATTCGGATCATTGGTGTCAGACCAGTACCAGCTGCAATGAGAACTAATGTGCGACACATATCAATTCGAGCAGTGTCAAAAGCGCCTTCAGCTGAACTCATTTCTATTGTATCACCTAGCAAAAGAACAACTTCTGTTGAAAGTCATGTTATTGCATGTGTATTTCTATACCAATAGATAGCTGTTGTAACATTGGAGTCATTGTTCGATCAATGTAATGTTTGATTAGCAGTTCAATTGTATGTTCAGATAACGATTTGTTTTCTTCGTCTAATTTGTTTACAACTGTGTATGGTTTCGTAATAATTACACCTAAATGTAATCATTGAATGGACATAAACGAAAGAGTTCAAGAGGAAAAACAAACCATCTTTGGTTCGCTGCAATCGAATGTGGTATCCAATCGGAGGTAACATGAAAACATTCGATGGAAGAGAGAATGTGTACCAGTCACTATCATGTGTCACTGATGTTCGTTTTATCAGCGTGGCATTGAAGTATATGGGCTCTAGATGAAAATAGATATCTTACATTGTGTTGATCGAATACGCTTTATAAACATACCGAAATCTTGCATTGGACAAATTGATAAATGGTTCGAAGCAAACTTTCCCACAGATTTCCACATTTGATCTGTTTGTTTTTTCAGATCAATTTCAATTTGATCTTGCTTATTCGATGAGATTCGTACTATTTTAAAAGACAATCATTCCATACTTATTTTCAAATTCTTTTCTTTTTACCATTGAAATCATTTGTAACTAATTCAAGTAATTCTACAACAATCAAAAAGGTTTTTTGCGCTTTACAAATATCAGAATAATATTCACCTATCGATATTGTATGAACGAACCCATCAATAAAAATAAGAATAGTAAGATTTTTGCCATTTTCAATATTAACAAAGATTTTCTCAACAGTTAACGTCAAGCATGTCGTATATATGAACAGAGTCAAACTTTTCGAATCCGGCTGTCGAAAATCGAATCGGAGTCGGGAAGGTAAAGACTTTTTTTTGGCTAATGCTCCATCTATTGGACCGTGTTTTGTCACTAGTCGACCGACGAGACATTTTTCTAACATAGAACCAAAGTTGACCTGAAAATAGTTCGTTTGTAAACAATTCTGTTCAAGATAGTTTAACAAACCCAAGAATGTATCTCTTGAAAAAGTGCTGTAGCATCAATACCAGCACCTTTCATGATTTCATCTACCCCTCCTGGATGATAATCCAGATATGGAGTGATATTGTATACATTTCCTAATAATCAACAAGATTAACAATGATTTTCGCGTAGGGACAGACGAGGACTATTCGTTACCGCTGATAGCTGCCCAACAATCGGTTTTCTTATTATGTTTAGCTAGTTCCTCTTCTGTAACAGTCAATAACTTCCCATTGGTTCCCGAAATATTCGGAGTATTATTCATTTTGCGTATCCAATCCATTAAACCTGTCAATATAGAAATTAAACGACGTTGAACTAATATTTCGCTTACCATGCTGAGGAGCTAAAGCGACCTAAACGAAAAAGTAAACATCGATTACACAGCGTTCAAATGGAAACTTTACTTGAGCACGTGGTTTATTTGTCGCCGCTGCTGTTTTTCCCGGTAACTGAAGAAAATTCATAGTTGTAGGATTATTCGTCGTTGAATTTGGTTCTCTTGATTTCATGCAGCAAAAGACTTTCAAAGAAAAACAATTGCGAAAATTATCGTGAGAAACTTTTCATACTCACGGTTGTGTAGAGAACTCATACTAACTCAAACCTTACAATCTATTCTATAGTTTTCCTTTCTGAACATCAAGCATGCGTTATTCATGCAAATGATTTGATGTATTCTGTGAAAAAAAGAAAGAATAGGTTGATTTCATCGTTCCTCTAACATAGATTTCCTCGAATGAGCATAATCTCTTAGAAATAAACGTAAGAAAAGACACACTCTCTACGAAATGTTCTGGAAAGAAAAATGCATTTTTGCGAGAAAAGATTGGTAAACTTTGTGGTGGCCTATGCTATTTTTGCTTTTGACAGACATGTTCCAGTCGCATTTCTGTCGAGCGAACGAACGAGCATAGAACGTGTTTTCCTATTGGCTTCCATTTCGTTCAATGACACTCAAGCTATCTGTCAAAAAAAAGTAGATCAAAAGCTGCTTACCTTATGGACGGAATTGAAATCAAAGAAGGAGAATTTTCATTCGTTCAATAATCTAATAAATACAAGATTGGCACATCTACTTGTATACTGATAAAAAAATCAAGTAAAAAATTTATTATTAAGAAAAAAAACAAAAATTTTTTTAGAAAAAAACATTTAATTTTCGCTGTTTATTCGATTGAAATAATGGAATGCCACAGAATGTTCGTTTCTTTTGATTAACAGAAGATTGACTATCGTCATCATCTTCAACGGAGATGTTTTTACCAAAACAAAACCGAAAGGCACAGTCGTTGTTCGTTGAAAATACATCAACTCTCCTGTTTACATTGCTTTCGAATACTGTTTGTATTTGATTACGTAAAAGAAAATGTGCATCGTATTTCCGAGTGAGTTCGATGATAAATGACGATAAATTCGAATACATTCTGATGAGTTTCTTCATCGACTTCAAAAATATGTCTGTCGGTTCGAACAAGGTTTGATCATGTATAATAAAACGAAGATGAGCGAGATTTGTCGAATAAAGTTGATGAGGATGTGTCGGAATAAATGAACAAAGATTTTGTTGATTAATCATATTCTTTCCTAAAAGAAAGATTCTTCTTATATGAAACAAAGATTTTCTCGTTTCGCACGTACCTAACGTCAAGGATTGCAAATGCGACCATCGGAACTGACTGGTTTGATGCGCAACTTGTTTGAGAAAAGTCAGAAAATCTGACTGTAATGTTCTATCCAAGACGTTTACATTGTGCAATGTCAGAGAAGCTAATTGTCGGGTGAGAAAGGAAAATTTCACGATTGTCCGTCGAGACATGCGAATATTATTCATAATCACTGTCTTGACATTCGATTGTACTGTAACAATTGGAGTATCCAGAATACGTTTTAAATCCCATATTCCTGATCCCATTTGATCAATTTTACCATCTGATATAATCAAATCAGTTAATAATGATAAATTCGTCATCAATGTAACCAGACCATCAAGACTTAATTCAAATTTAGTGATAATTAACTTACGAAGAGGCACTATTATATGTGGGATATTATATACCGAACGAAGAAAGTACGATTCGAATGATTGGCTTTTACCATTCTTGTCGGACCATGTGATATTGTATTCATTGAGGAGTTCGACCGATGTCGTAACACATTGGATATAATCGAGAGACAGCAATTGATTCGTATGCCAATATGTTTGTTGAATACAAGATGAGTGTCGATTAAGGTTGGATGCGGAGTTCAATTGGAAATACACAGGGGGCAATGTACACTGATGCAGAGTGATGAATTCTTCCGTTTGGTTTAGATGGCTGATATTCATTAGGATCAATCGTCGATATTTTGGATAGTTCAGAGTGTGATGAAGGGGAAACGGACACATGCCGTGTAAATAGGATAGCTGTAACGTATGAAGATAATGGCAAGAGTTTACATATTGATGGAATTCATTGGGAAAAGATGAATTGTTATTGACAAAAAGAAATTTAAGTGTGAAAGTGTGCAATGAACAGGTAGGTAAACGAGAGAATATCTCGTGTGAACGATGATCATAATCAAACATGATTTTCAAATGTAAGTTAGTCAGTGATTGTAATTGATTTTTGAGAATATCTGTTGAATGCATTGTTAAATGTAACGTTCTCAGTTGATTTGACGAACTCACTTCGGTGAAATTAGTCTGATCATTCGTTAAACGTAGAGTTCTCAATGTTGCTGAACAGAATTTCGTCGAGTGTAAACTATTTCCAATGTGTTCATCATGAATGGTTAGTTCTTCAAGTTGTAAACACTTCTTCAATGAAAACCCGTTTTCAAGTAAAATCTTTCGACATATGATGTCCAGTTCATCTATAACCAATTGTCGTATTGTTGCTGCATTAGCTGTTAGCAAACGAGTGAAGCATGTAAATAGATTGTAATCAACGGTCGATTTTATATGAATACATGTCCATAAGCACGGATTGTGATGTATCAGATTCCGCAGACGTTTTGATGACAAAAAATTTTGATAGAAATTTACTAATTCGATTTGGTCGAATGTACGAAAAATTTTCAGTAAAGCAACATCGGGTAAATCTGTTAGAGACATCTAAAAGAAAGAAATCAAAAGTAAAACGAGAAAAAAAAATCTGCGACTATTTCATCATTCACACTTTGTGACGCATTCTCTAAGCGTTTTAAGTACATAAAGGGACCCAAGAGTGTATGATTTTCTTGTAAAGAAAAGAAGTGGGAGTAAAACATGCAAATAATTTCTATAGTCTCTCAATCCACCATGGTGAATATTCAAAAGAAATGGAATATCATAGAAACTTTCTCATCTACCCACCCGTTTATGCGTTGCTTTTTCTTTCATATATTTCATAAATACACACATACACACAAACATATACATTGATTGTCACGAGAAAAGAAAACTTCACAATTATTATATATGAACAAAATGAAACATGAAAATAAGAGAGTCAAATCACACGTAGGATTCAAATGCATACTTATTTTCGTATGTTAGATATGTTAATAGACGATCAGTCATCGATGGATATATGGAAAAATGCTTGATATCGTTCGGAAAGTGTTCCACATGCATTTTGATTTTTACACGACAGAGAGATTTCAATGTTCCACAGGATGTTTCTTGTTGACAATGAATAATTGTATCGAAAAAGTTAATGAAGCCAATTTTTTTGCTTTCCAACTTCTTATTGACGAATTGGTATGCATCCGATTGAAGAAGAAGTTTTATTTGTCGCATATCAAAATGAACTTCACCATTATCAAATAGTTTACGGAGAAATTTACTAAATATAGATGTATCTTGACCAGTGTGACATCCTTCAGAACTAGAAGAGTACAGAGAAGAAATTGGCATCATTAAACATGGAAAAATTCTGTCGAAACCTTAAAGCCGCTGATGGATATGGAAAGAGCATGTCTGTTGAACGTGAACTGATAAAAAATTCACGATGTTGTGTCGAAAGGTAATAAATGGCAATAATTTCCACGAAATAACCAAGTATCTTCTGTCGAACACTATTTGAACTGCATTTATTATTTGTGATGATTATAAATATATCACGTAAACGGTACTTCAATAGGAAGCATGCTAAAAATAAAACGAGACGATTTGAGAAAATTGGTTCATAGGAAAGAACTCTCGTCGTTCGATTGAGAAAGTAACAGTCATTTTGACATCGACAACTTCAATGTATACGTCAAGTCTAAGTAGGTAATAAAGATTTCATTAGAGCAAAATTGATTTCTGTATAAGGGTCGCACTTCGCTTTAGAATAATAATCAGATGTATAGAGGATCGATAGAGGGGCAAATTCGAATGAATATGTAATAGATGTGAAAGTCTACTAACCGAGTTCGAGCAGAATGTCCACGTCGAATTCATTCCAGATGAAACTGGTATAGTTGTTAAACAGAGACGAATAAGTGGAACGAGCGATGGTTGGTGGTGAATATTCAAAGAATGATTTTGAGATTTTACCATTGGATACGAAGAATTGATGTAAGGAATGGTACAGTTGTTCGGTACGATCATCCATATAATTGGGATTTAACTTTTGACAGAGTATGTAAAGCAGATATTGATCGACAATGGTGTTGCCAAACTGATCAGATGCATTCGGCATGATTGTATTCGTGCTGTTTGTTGTTGTGTTCATTTGTAACTTCAAGCGTGACGAAAATGCGTCGTTCAATGTGGTATCGATGTACTCAAGCATGTTTGGCTGATGTTCTGATCGACAGAGACGTGGCCGATTAGTTGAGCCACTTGTTGATGAAACTGTATGTGTCATCAAACTTGATAAATATTGATTACGACGATAATCGAACACAGTGATATGGAAAGAGGTTCACCTGTAAAGTTTGCTTTTGTTAGGCTTTTCTTTGCGAGAGTAATCACTTATAAATAGAAAAAAAAAGAATCAAAAGAAAAAAAAGAGATTATTATTATTATTATTATTCATTCAATACTTAAGTGAATAAGTTTTTTTTTCTCTCTTCGCTAATAATTGATTTGTCTCGCGTTTTTGTTCTTCGTCAAGATGTGAATATGTTTGATTAATTCAACATTTCTTTTGTATGGAATCAGTGTTACATTGATAATGATAATAATAATAATGATGATAGTAATGTGTGAGAACAAGAGATAAATCGAAGGCGAGATGGTCGACGGGAATAAATAACAGATGAATTAAAAGTCCCGAAGATAAATGATCGCGATTCGCATTTGATGTTTTAAGAAAAAGCGGTTTTTTCTCAACAGAATAGAAAACAACAGTCTTTACACGGTGTCATCAATTGCAAAGCAAAAGAATAATGCAAACAAACAAAGATGAATAGTGCACCGTAGTACTCTCATTTCTCCCTTGTATCCGGAATTTCTCTCCCTCTCCTTCTCCTTCTCCTTCTTCTTCTTCTTCTTCTTCTTCTTTTTTTCATCGAGAATGTGCCCGACTGATGATGACAGAAATGAAAAACAAGATGATGAAGGAAAAAATAGAAAAGAAAAAGACTGAGTTCTCCCCCAACTAATTGGCTAGTGATACTCGCTAGGGTACTCTCATTCATTCACTCACCAGATCGATAACAGCGACAACGATGCAATGACTTATCATTTTTCAGTCGATAGAAATAATATTTTGCCACTCTCTCTCTCTCTTTCTTGTATTCCGGATGTTATTTCGAGTTGCAATACTAGTTTATAATCAACTACTGCACTTGTTTGCCGTTTATCTTTGATAATCACATTGTTATTGATCATCGGCGTTACATTTAAATACAATACACACATATATAATTCTAACATCCAGCGACCGTCAACTTCGGCTACATATCTTTTCGGCAAAAGCTCTCATTAGATGAGGATTTCCAGTAACAAAAAAAAAGGCCGGTGAGCGAGAGAAACAGAAACACACAAACAATAATTAATTCCGTAATATCATCCGGATTAAGATGAATATCAATTGTTCATGTTCGACATTTTTTTGTTGTTGTTCATTGAGATCATTTAACTTGTCTGTTTTTCTTGTTGAGGAAAAACATCGGCTGTCGCTGCTCAGTCGCGATGAATTCAATTTTCGCATGTCTTACTGCGAACGATTGCCGTTTTATCAACACACAAAAACATAACTTTAATCCCAGATTTTTCGCATTGACAAGTTCTTAATTGATAATGGCACGATGCCAAAAGCAATTTAAATCATCGATTTGCTTTTTTTTGGCTGTCTAAAACATGATACAAGAGTTTTTTTTTTGTAAACATCTCTCTTTGCTTTTGTTCGTATCGAAAAAGAAAAACAAATAAACACAAATGTGTTGAAGACAATGATTGAAGTAGGTTTTTTTTCCTTCTTTTGCTGATGAATAAACAATGAACAAAGACAAAAAACAAATGTGTAAAGCGAGCACCAGCAGACAAACAAACAAAAAAAAAGAAGAGAAGAGACGAGGAAAGGTCTTCATTTGATCACTGTTCCAGATGAGATAAATGAGTTGTTTCTTTTTCTTTCTTGTTTTCGAATTTGTTCGACTAAGTAAGGCAAACTGATGCAAAGGAAAAACATGCAATGCATCTCTTTGAGAACGCCAACAGAAGAAGAATCTTATCACTTGAGATCAACGCACACACACACGCACACACACACGCACGCACGCACGCGCAGCAAAAGAAGAAGAGTAAAGATTATAGTGCCATTCGACTATGAAACACACGAACACGCGCGTATACAAACGGTTGTTTGTAAAAACGATACAAAGATTTGAGTGAATAGAAAGGAACGAAAACGACGATTTCTAAAAAGAGACAAATCTCGAGGAAGAAACGAACGAGAAGGCAAATGTTCATTTTAAAAAGGAGTCTATTAACAAAACAAAACCTCACACCCACAAGGAGAGACAGAGCGAGAACAGTACATAAAACAGAAGGAAAAGTAAACGATTCAAATTGAGAAGTATTGATTTCATATTGAACAATACGAACGTAGATGAAGAGGAAGAAAACGAGTCTGTCATTTGAAATACAAACAAAATTAGGATTTAGAAGAATAGAAAGAAAAAATACTTTTTCTTTGTTTCTTTAGTTTGTTTTTTTCTTCATTGAGACGAGTTAATTTCACGTCACTATCTATTTGCTTCTCTATTATTTTCTGTTCTAAACAGGTACACTTCCGATCATCACTTTCGATACAAAATTAACAATGGCTGAAGATGGTTGGGTCCGATCAATTTCAGCAAAGATGTGACATTCATTTTCGGGTTGGTTTGAGCGATTATTACCATTAATTTTCTTCGAAACAAAACCAAAGCATCTAATGAAAAAAAAGAAACTTCGAATCTTTCTGTACGGAAAAAGAGCTGTCTGCATCTACTTTGCTCGTGGTAACATTTCTAAATCCGACATTTGATGTGTCCAATAACGATCGTTTTCATAATCCACACCACAATAAGTGACATATTCCTTTGGAAAATGTCGTCGAGAAAATAATCTAAATAATCCGGCATGTCTTTCTCATTAGTTTATTAGTCGACTACCTACTTTTTCTTTGTATCGGTTAATGTGATACCAGTGCTTGATACTTTGAAATGAACTATTGTCGCCTGCAGACGGTCAGCATTATCAAATGTTGCACGTAATGCTTTATTTAAAGCCATTTGACCAGATAATGATTCGACATCGACATTATTCAAGTAGAGAACATTACAAGCTAAAATTCACAAGCAAAAAAGTCAAACGGAAAATTTCTCTCCTTCAATGTTGATTACCAGCTCCTTTTTCTAATAAATCTTTAACCGAGAGTTTCTTGCTCGTATCATGCTGTTGATTCGATGCTACGCGATAATCTTCCGTGATATCGGCAACTGGTACGAGTAGTTTGATTGGCAAGGCAAGAGGTGTAATTGAATGTTGATAGACTAAAGCTGAGAGATTGACTAAAAATAAACAAAAGAACAGATGTATACATGGAAAACAAAACTAATAAATAATATTATGACATTGAAGAGTGAATATGATTTGATGTGCTTTCAAGATACTCCTACTCAAGTGTTCTCTACTGGAAAATCTCTTAAAAAGAAGAATTTGTTTTTTCTTCCGTACCGAAATCTGGCTCGTTTTGACAGCCTTTCAATCTAACGTGTCCAGTTGGTGTTCGTTCGATGAGATAATGTCGAACTAACTCAGCATTGGGATCGGCGCCATTTTTTGCTTGAATGCCAACTGGTAATGTCTCGACTTTAACTGCTAAGCCATATGAACCTGGAAAACCTTGACTATCTCGAATAAGAAATGTTCCCGCTGGTTTCGATTTCAATAAATTGATAGCTACAAAGGCAGAAAGTGAAGTTGATCAAATGAGTGATTCAATATTCATTACGTACCATCTTCACGTGACATTTTCTCTTTATACCAAAATTGACTAACATTATGTGCTTGATAAGCACCATTACGATGTACATCAGTTTCTAAAAGTAAAATAAAAAAAACTCAATGACTTTGGTCACGCCATATTTCAAGGTCAATGTGTCATTTCTGATTAATTATCGAGAAAAGTAGGAAAATCCTCCTAGACTATGACATTCTCTCAGGAGATTAGTACGTAGATGTAATGAAAACAGCGTTTCGTTCCAAAAATTTGGAAGATCGAGATAAATGATATTTCAATTAGTCGGCAGCGGAAACGATACCGTGATAGAAATTAAGAAGTTCATATTAGCTTCGAAAATCATTTGATAAGAATGATATTTTACCTGCTGCGGAAGAAGCACTTGATCGACGAGAAGTTTCTTCCTGATTTCGAGAGAATCTACATGCAAAAGGAGTTATTTTCAAATGAAGACGAATGCTTTTTTCTCTGTCTCTCTCATACCCATTGCCCAATCGTGTCTGATTATCTAAAAATCGCAAAACAAATGAATTCGAGTTTGGTTTGAACATAGGTGTAAAACACATACATGATTGATTGGATATGGGGAACGTAGGTGTTGCTGGTGATTTCATATTTGTTTGGTTATCCAGTCGTTCGTGGAGTGCAGTTGGTATCTAAGAGAATCAACAGTAAAACGTTCAGTCTCAATCAGCTAATTCGAGTTGTTCGAGGGCAGTGAGAAAGGGGTAGACGAACAATCTTTTCCTCCGTTTTCTTACAATATGTGCTGTCGATGAAAATACTTGTGGCTTGCTTGAATTCGATACAATCGGTATTATACTTTCGTTCATGATTTGTTGAACGCGAGCAGTTTTTTGCAAAGTGTTTTCGCCCGAAGAAAACTTTCTTTTCAATTCGGGCGACGCAGGCATTTGTGACCTGCTATTACTTGGCGGATTAGATAAACCCACTTGACCAGGAAAAAGATTTGGTAATACTGTGAGATCTTTTCTCATTGTTTCCATTTGTTGTCTAGCCTCGTGTGTTGACGATGGAATTGGATTTATTGTCTAGATAATAAAGTGGAATGTGATTTTCTTCTTATTTGGTTTTTCAATCACTTGACATTCCATGCAATCATCAAAAACCATTCGTATACATGCGAAACTCAATCGAAGACGGGGACAATACGCGCAAACAAAAAAAACGAGATTCCATTCAACGCGTCTTACCCTCTTCTGCTGCTGCTGTTGTTGTTGTTGTTGTGTTTTACTCGCAGCTGATATATGCTGTTCGGGTAAACGTGATATTGTTGCCGATGTTTCTTGACTGAAAACAGGTATCGATGTTGAACGTAATTGATCTTGCGAACGGTAACGTTGACTACTATTGTCAACAAACCGTTGTTGTTGCTGCTGAGATACAGGCCTTGTCATAGTAGCTGACTGCTTGCCGACCCATCCGCTATCACCATATTGAATATCTATTGGCACTGGTCGACGATTGTAACTTTGCTGACGAGTATTCATGCCTGAATCCGTTTCATAACCACCCATATACTCATTTCGGCTACGTAGAGTATGCCCGTTGGATTCATTGAGAAATGCACTGCCACGTAAATTCGTTGGTACCGTATTTAAATTTGATGACGAAACCATTCGATTATTTACTACTAGAGTTTCTGGGATTGCTGCCATGCGCGGTGGTAATGTACGTGTCATACGTAATCTGCCACTACTAATTAAACCTGTATCAGTATCATAACCATCTGGTCGTAACATTGTGCGATGACTACCCCCACTAGTGCCACCCGCGTAGCTGTCATGATGACGTTCACGTACAAAATGCATCGGTTGTTGCGGAGGATAATATGGATAATGCATTGGTCCTAGTGGCGGTGGTTCATGCATCGATAGTGTTGAGGGTGCACCT